AACAAAAACATTCTTTTCAGTTTTGGTTCCAGTCTCTAATATGATGGAATTGGCATATGTTAATATTTATATTCATGTAAAGTCTTGTGAGATTAAGTTTTCAGATATCAGTTTTTAAAACAGTATCTTATGTATCTGAAGGTATCTATGATTGTTTCAGGGAATCTAAATACTAGATAGCAATCACACTGCCAAGCTCTACTTCTAGACAACCCAGAGTAGAACTATCTTCCAACATGCTCTACATTGCCTCCAAATATGTGTATGCGCTTAAACATACGCTCACCTATAAAATTAACTATTAGACATTTAAACTATTTAGCTTCAATTTCTGAAAAAATAAAACACTCTTTGCTTAAAGTTAGCTGAGAGATCTTTCTAATGGTAATGAATGAGGGCATTCAACTATTTCCAGAATATTCTAGAAAATGAAATACAAACCCAATATAAACTATTTCTGAAAAAGTACAATATAGCACAATATTTTTTTACCACTTTGATACATAATTGATATTTCTATTTTAGAATATTTTAATTTTTAAGCAAAACTCAAAAGTTAACCAATCCTATGGCAACATAGAAACTCTATTTACTAGTCTTACCTTCAAAGAAAAGGAATAGATTGTACCTCTCTAGAAGAATAATTCTGAAAAAAGAAACTTTCATTCTATTCCATATTTATTAATTAATGGAGAAAAACAAAGGTGTAGCCGAGACCGGTTTGGCTCAATAGATAGAGCGTCGGCTTGGGGACTGAAGGGTCCCGGGTTCGATTCCGGTCAAGGGCATGTACCTTGGTTGTGGGCATATCCCCAGTAGGGGGTGTGCAAGAGGCAGCTGATCGATGACTCTCTCTCATTGGTGTTTCTAACTCTCTATCTCTCTCCCTTCCTCTCTGTACAAAATCAATAAAATATATTAAAAAAAGAAAAAAGAAAAAAAGAAAAACAAAGGTGTAGAAAAAAAAAAGAAGAAGAAAGAGAGTAAGTTACAGCACCCAGAACATAAACACAAAGATACTGAGGCAAAAAAAGAGAACAGCATATCAAAAATATGTATCAAGTTGATATACAATGTAAATAGAGATATTGTAAAGGTAATTCATGTATTTGGTGCTAACTAGTTGACTGCTAGGGTTCCCAAAAATTCTAAGGATCTATAATGATGCAACATTTTTACATTCAAGGAACCTATTTTGTGGCCTAAAAGATACCTGCACAAAGACTATCCCTCACAGCTAACAAGATCCATCCACATCTGAAAACAATTTAATGTATACACTAAGAATTATTTAGTTGCAAACTGTAACAGCTAAAGTAGCAGCAAAGATGACCAAGGACCTCCAAGATTGTTTCATGTGTCAGATCAATTAACTTATTCACCATCATAGCAATTTTTTTTCAACTATGTTAAGACCAATGCTTCTTTTAACTTTTTCATTTCCTTTCTAATGTCAAGTTAAAATAATCCAGATTTAGGTCAATTCCAATTGAATTTCAGTCAATGTCATGCACAGTACTGTACAAAGACTTGCTATAATAATAAATCTTGCTGACTAGACTGGTAACAATGATACCAATAATTACTTAATTATTAGATTAAAAATGTATTAGGCTCATTTCAATCTGATATGAATGCCTTTCAATTTAGTTGTCTATTTTTATCATATACATTATGAACAAATAACTCAGAATAGTGAAAATACTACAACTCTTTGGACTACCCTAATAATAAAGGAGATAATATACAAGAGAATTTTTTTGTTTCCCAGAGACAATTTTATACTAGTTGCTGAAATACAAATACATATTTACTGATATGTTTGCAATGTTTTGTTCAATAAGTACACTCTAAAAACAAAGTTAAAAAAAAAATTAGAAGAAATAAATCCTCAAAACATGGTTCAAGAAGGCCAGATGTCTGTAGTTATTTAAAAAAATGACATCTACCAGGAAAAAAATGAGAGAATGGAACACACTAAGAGAGTAAATGATGACAAATCAGAAAACATATACTATTCTTAAAAGACAGGACAGAAACTTTCCAAATATTAATGAGGAAATTTGAGAATAAACATGCTCTATCAGAACCACTTAGGAAGATTGTGTTCCAACAAAAAAGAATGGTAGAGAAAGCATTGGTTTATCATGAAACCTGTTTTGAATTTCAGTTCTATCATTTAGCTCTACAACAATGGGAAATTTTATTAACTATTTTGGAATTCAATTTCTTTCTCTTTTAAAAAATGAGGATATTGGTTAATTTCTAAGTTTCCACTGGAGAAATTAAAAATTCTCACTCCAGAGAAATGGTACAAATCTAAAATTTAGAAAAATTTGTTTTAACTGCAGCTGCTTAGATAAACTGGTTATTTAATTACCTTCATTTATGAAGTTTTAGACAAAAACCATCTTTGAAGTCTTTTTCCAGTTTATAATTCTTATAAGAATCATATTATGAAGAGAAAACTCCAAATGGTCCCTTTGAAATAAAGAGCACATAAACAACTCCTTAACTGGATCTGACTATCCTGTATCCTAGGTAGATCTCAGCAAAGCCTAACAGCAGCTCGTTGGAGACATCTGTTGCTGAAACTGGGAATTTAGCACATGTGTGAGCTACAGGAATACAAGGACAAAATGAATTGTTAATCTGAGAACAAACGAATCAAAACAAAGAAAGAGACTATCATAAGTAGGATTTTTTACACATGCCATTCTTTACACAAGCCAACAGTTACTAATAGTACACCTACAAGATATACTTTCCACACTAAAATTATCTACTTTTAAAAATATATGTATTTTTATTGATTTTTTTATAGAGAGGTAGGAAGAGGGATAGAGAGCTAGAAACATTGATGAGAGAGAAACATTAATCAGCTGCCTCCTGCACACCCACCACTGGGAATGTGCCCGAAACCAAGATACATGCCCTTGGACCGAATCAAACCTGGGACCTTTCAGTCCACAGGCTGACGCTCCATCCACTGAGCCAAACCAGTTTTGGCTAAAATTATCTAGTTTTAAAATCTTTAAAATACCCAAACCTTTCTGGATAGCAATAATAAAATCATTAGATTTTGTTTTTGAATTGTGTGTAAACTCTAGAGCAAAGACTTAAGAAGGTGAGGATCAGAGCTCAGTTAAAATGATATAACAAAGATGACAGGGGGAAAAAAGGATTATTCAACTTCTATTTTGCTTCTTCCATCTTTTCTCTCAGGAGAATGATTTTTAGACCAGAAAGATAAAAAGTAATGCAAAGATGGATCACAATGCAAAATAGGTAAAGAGAATGACTGCCTTAAATGAGTTCAAGTCTCTAAAATAAATAAACTACCTCCCTGAAATAGAACTTGCTGATGTAATCATAGAACTACTGCTTACAAATGTGGGGAAAAACAGAAAATCGCAAAAGTGCAACAGGACTGTAAGTGTCTAAATAAAGTATTCCCATGTTCAGAACGAATCTTTTCAAGAAAGAGGATTTGAGAAATTAAAAGTAAAGTCAGGTGCAGATCTTAAAAAAAAAAAAAAGTACAATAGCTTAATATACATAGGTTTTATTAGATCTTAGAAAAGGAATAAACACTTGATGCATCTATAGATTTACTAAATTAAGAAATAATAAGCAACTAATCATATATTTATTTTGAAGGTATCAAACTAGCAGATCTATATAATACCTTTAGAATTTATTGAAGGCTCTCTTGTACCTTTGTAAACAAGTTGGACAAATGAGGGTTAGAGGATACTACAATGAACATTAGCATTTGGTTGAACAACCTCATTCAATAAAACTCACAATAAAATTCACTGGTATAAGGAGAAACCAATTAGCATGCCATATGGGTCTGGCTCTGCAATTTTACTCAACATTTTTATCTATAATAGGAAGAAAATATTTTATAGCCTGTAGTAATTTGATAGCTTCCTATCTGGGATATAATAAAAAGATCCTATAATCAATTCATAGTAGATGGTCAATAAATATTTGTTAAGTTATATCACAACTCTCTATAACAAAGGTTCACTCCCAGGAACTTGGGGTAGAAAATCTATAGCAGAGATTAAAAGGATATGAGACATTTGACTCATCTAACATGTACCCTGGGAACTTATTTTGTGTAATTTCATCACAGATAAGCTATAACAAGCAGTGTCCAAATAGAGCTTAAAAGAAGTACTTTTAACTTTCCTTTGTTATATTTTAAGATAATAACAAAAAAGTGGTATTTGAGATCTAAGCTAAGCAGACAATGAGAATTAATGGAAGAAGCACTACTGCATCTACCACCATTATAATTACCACTAATGCACACTTAAACAGCACTTACTATCGCCAGAGCCTGTGCTAAAGGCTTTAGATAATCATAAAAACACACACACAAATATTATACCCATTTCACAGACAAGGAACCTGAAGCTTAAGGAGGCTAAGTAGCAAGCCTAAAGTTACTCAGCTACTAAGTAGCAGAGCCAGGATTCAATACAGGTAAATTGGTTTCAGAATGTGTCCTCTTAATCACAACTATATTATAATACCAAAAGCATCTCCAAATCTTTAAGCCCCAAAATAGTATTTTTAAATCTGAAAGTTTTTATTGTACCATTTTGCATTTAAACAAAGCCTATTACCTTTTATTTTCATGAAAGAGCTTCAAAGAACTCTATAAACCTGTGTTAAGAGGTATCATTCCATTTGAATTGCTAATATACATGGAAAGAGGAATACTGAAGGTGTTACTCAGATTTTAAAAAGTGAATAAGCAGAAATGTTTCAAAAAATAAAGAGAAATAATAAGTGATTTTAATCTTTCTCAAATAGGTTCTCAGAATCCCAAGACAAACTTGCTTCTTAGTGAGGTGATCAGTACTGATTTTATTGTTAAATGGTCCTTATTCTAAACCTGAATATATTCCTCAGGTATTTCTGTTTAGTTACTGACCATACAAAGAAATGGAATATAAATAGAACTGGAAGTTAGAAATTATTACCTGAATAGAATGAACCCAAGTGATTCTACTGCTGCTCTTCTGACATCGTCATTAACATCGCTCACCTGGGGGGAAAAAATTATGATTACAATATACCATGCATTTTATTACCAGATCAAACTGATAGGAGACAACATCATTCAAATATACATTAGACCTCATTAATATGTTATTCTTTTATTAGAATGTCTTTCCCTAATTTAGAAAAACTTGTCTGAGAATGACTTTATTTCAAGGCTTACAAGTTTTAAAACTTGGTGTTTAAGGTTCAAGACTACTTCTAAAGACTATTTCAGCTGCATTATGGCTTTTGTGGGCTACTATGAAATCCTAACCATTCCTTCGATGTTATTTTCAAAAATTTATGTCCTAAGGTTCAAGCAAAATGCAAATATTTTTAATATACCACATTCTGCACTGATAAAGGATAAACTACTAGTAAGTACTGTGGGATGTGAATATCTCTTTGAAGGAGTTATGAATAGTTTTAAGCCCATTCTGCATGGGAAGTACTGACCGTGGGTTTTTCTTCTCCCAGCATCATGAGAGCAAAAACCTACTGAGTAAAGACATATGTGGAATGCTTACTGTATTACCAGGCAACAGTATTTATTGTTGATAAGCTATATTTGGATTAGGAGGACTGAGTGAAAAAAGCCTTTTGGAAAACACGGGCATTGGCTTTCCTATATAATGTTTTTCTTGAAATAGAGCATGTTCCTTGAGGGTTCCTGAAAGCTAATTTCACAGGCTGTGAAAAAAAATGATTCCTATTGTTCATTAGATTTCCTGATCAGAGGGTTGCTGCACAAACTCACATTGTCTTGTCTCTTCAATAAGGGTGCCCCTTGGAGTAGAGTTTTAGAAGTCATTGCACCTGAATGACTTTAAGGATTTTCATTCAAACTGACATATTGTTATCCTGTCCTTCAGCCTTCTGAAAAGCTATATGAGCCTGGTGCTTAGATACAGCTGAACAGGAATCTGAACCTGAGACCACTGATAGTGGTCATGTGATGTGGGTGCTGCACTCACCTAGATATGTAAAGTCCATTTGCAAACTTTCCCTTCCATCCCATCCCCAAGAAAGATCACAGTACTTACAGCAACATGTAGCAGGCGTCGTATAGCTTTGTTGTTACCTGAGCCACAGTAAGCCATGGCTACGGTATACATTCCAGACCGTCGAAGAATTGGGTCCTAAGAAAATATAATTCAACATCAGTCACCAACTTACTTCGAACAATAACTTCTATAGATAAATGGGCATAGTTGTATGCACTGAGAGAGTTTGTTTTAGGTAGGAAAAGATGAATTCAAGAACTATTTTGTAGTTGGTATTTTCTAAATGAATGGGGAAATAAGACTAACATGAGTGGAATGAACTGCTTCAAATTGCCAATATTCTGTGAAACATAACATGCCTGTTCTGCCTCATACATTCTAGAAAGTATAAACTCGGTAACAAGACCTATTGCCCTGTGACACTCACTTCCATTTATCAAAGGGACACAAAGAAGCCAGTTTCTATTCCATATTCTAACTTGCTTTTACTTTATCATTTAATTCGTTGGAACTGAACACTGAGTAAGAAATATGGACGTCTGATTGTTGAGCAAAATAATTAGTCATTTTTATCAGTAAATTATAGCAGTGGTTCTTTTTTTTTTTTTTTTTTTTAAATGTTTTTATTGATTTTTAGAGAGAGAGGAAGGGGTAATTACAGAGACAGAAACACTAATGAAAGACAGACATCAATCAGCTGTCTCCTGCATGCCCCTCACTGGAGTTGAGCTCACAATCCGGGGCATGTGACCTCTTGGCTCATGGGTTGATGCTCAACCACTAAGTCACACTGGCCGGGCTAGCATTAGTTCTTTTAATCAGATTATAGAGGACGATATACTGCTGACGACTTATAATAATACCAATGTGAAAAGCAAACAAAAGACAATGGAAAAAACTCATTCAATTAAGTAAGTCAAGATTGGCACTATTTTTTTAATTAAAAACAAGGAAGTAAACTTTATCTTATTAAATGATTATGAAATCATTCAAAAAACACTTTCTAAAAGGAATTAACTTGTAAATTACTAAATAAACATTTTTTGTTTATCTGAAAATCATTGATCTGAAATCTTTTAAATATTAAATCCTCAACTTCAGTTTACATCTCCTAATCAGTATTTTTGTTTTCTAAATTCTATTAGGTTTTATATACCTTATGAAAAGTTGTATTAACAAATGTAGCTAGGAGTTCTGAGAGGAACAGATATAATTTCCAGTGAAGATAAGTGTTTTATGGTGGAAATAATTGGAAGGTGAGGGAGAGCAAAGAGAAGAGGATTGATGTGTGATTCACCTTATCACGGCAGAGAGATTCAATGAGAGCATCGGCCTCTTCCATCCTCCCGTACATTACTAGTGCAATGCCAACTGCAAGACCACGCAGAATCTTCTCATGTTGAGTTTCTTGTGCATAGCCGACCATATCCTCAATAGCCTGGGCATTTTTAGAGCCCAACATAACTAAACCTAGGGCCAGGCCAGCTGCTTCCCCTAGTGAGTAAAAAATTAAAGAATAAGAGCTATGTATATAAACTCAATACAACATACCCTATTGGGAGTGGCATATTAGCACCAACTATCAAAACAACCATTAATCCTGCCTGTATGGCACAGTGGTTAGAGTGTTGACCCTGAAAGGATGTGGAATCAATTCAGGTCAAGGGCACTTACCTGGGTTGCAGGTTCCCTGCTTTGGGTAGGGCACATTGAGGAGGCAACCAATTGATGTGGCTTTCTTACATCAATGTTTCTCTCTTCTCTCCCCATCCCTTCCAGTCTTTCTAAAAATCATGGAAAAAATATCCTCCAGTGAGGATTAATAAAAAATGAAACAACTGAATCATAAGCTTCTGATTGCATTTTTTTTAAACCATCTGATAAAAAGGAAGGTATTTTATGTAGTTGTATATTTATAGCTTTTTTCTTTTGAAATCTTAAATGATGGTACCATAGTAACCAACAGTGATTTCAAAGGAAACATTATGATTTTTTTTTTTACATTATCATCTAGACAGTGTTTCCCAAAGTGTGGTACGCGTATCCCCAGGGGTACGGGAAGAGTTTGGTGGGGGTACACGTTGCACCGGAGTTTGATGGGGATATGCACTGCACCGTGCTTAGGTGCATCTAATTCTACGTTCTCATGAGTATGAGGGGTACTCAGCGTTACGAAAATTATATAATGGGTACACATATGTCAAAAGTTTGGGAAATACTGAAGATAGTCTTATGACATAAGTAGGTCACTCTTATAAATTTGTATTTGTATTTATAAAAGTCAGTTATATAGAGACACACACAGACTATACCATTTTAAAAGCCTTTATATTTCAAACATTCTTTTTGAGTTTGAAAAATGGGGAAAAAAATCCACTCCCTCTTCAAGAAGAGAATTGTTAGATTTTTAAGAGGCTATACAAATTTTAGATAGAAAATAAATTACAGTTAAATTAAATAAACCTAAAAATTTGTTGTCTTTAGAAAGAATCACTTACCTGTCACAGCATCGTCCTGATAAAGGTTTGTTTTTAGCAAATCATACACATCCTGGCGTACAGTCCCCATGGCAGCCAAACCAAGGCCCAGACTGCCACCATGTCGAACGATCTAGAAGAAAAAGCATGGGCTCCGCTGATGAAGTACATTGTACTTAAGATCCAAGCTTTAATTCTAATTTCAAAATATATTTTGATATAAATATGTAGAGCAGTTGGCTTAATTAGAATGATCAAAAGATTTGAAAATCAAAAGGCCAGGGGTAAGCTAGAAATTTCAATTTCCAAAGAATGGTGCTTGCTGATACAAAATAATAGTGAATTTTAAAGTGAATAAAAGAAGAAAATACGTTTATGTAAGAGGAAGAGAAAGATGACAACAACTGAGATGAAGTAGCAAGCACCAAGGAAAGTTTCTGTTAGGATAGGTGAGACATGAATATGATTATGGGCTGGGGTGGGAAAGACAGCATAGGAGGAGGCTGAAAAGGAGAAAAAGGTAGATCTAATGGAATATGGAATATAGTGGGAGAAATTGAGTTAAGAGCAAAAAGTTAGTCTTTACTTGAAGAGGAACATTTAGTCATCTGTCATTTTTGAAGACACAGTATCTTTTTATTGGTGATAGCACCTCACTCTTGCTTGAAGAATACTTCTCCTCAATTGATTAGTCTTGGTGGGACTGTTATTTAAGAAGCTTCTACTTTCCTCTAGCCAAAGTATTGGCCTAGAGATAGGTCAACTGGATGCTTCTCTGGAATTTTAATCATTTGTAAGTGGAATGACCCAAGGATCAAAAATATTTAAGTTCACTCATCCTAACAGCAGAGCCCTGAAGAGACAATTCCAGTATTCCTGTTATCTATTTCCCTGTAGCTGCCCTGGCTCTTAACCTTTGTGAGAACTGGTTCATCAGTTGTCCTTTAATTACATAAGCTACTTCCAATAAATTCCTTGTTTAAATTAGTCAGAGCTGGTTTCTGTTGCTGGCAACCAAAAAGCTTTGTTTGCTAAGAAAATTTTTTCTTGAAACCAGAGGAAGTAAGGTAAAGGTATGTGTAAATGTAGGTAAGATCTTGGATAGGGGCCTTACAAACTGGAAGAGATGTTTCTGTTGGCCTCAATCTTTTCACTAAAATAGGAGGACAAATTTTTTTGTCTGACTCAGCTACTCTCATAAAAAGTTTCTAAAAGATTCTAACATAAACATTAAAGTCTAAAATCCTATTTCAAGGTACCTTAAAATAAGATAAGGCTAATTAAGTTATTTTAAAAATTTACATTTAATACTTATCAAAGATCAAAACAAGCAAGAATTCTGATTCCCAAGAGAGGATAAGCATTTTCTTTGGGACTAGTTTTCTGCAAAATAATAGGATTAGACTAAATGTTCACTAAGGGCACCTATATAACATTACAAAATTCGAAAGAGTGGGAATAAAACAAGTGTTTTGAAAACAATACTGTTGGGGACTTCCCAAATATAACAAAATTTCTATTCACTAAAATAATTTGGCAAATGTTTTTCTGGACCCTTAACTAATGAAAATTCAGTTTTCCATTCTAACACTTACATCATTGCTGGCATTCTTAAGCTGGTTAAGCAGATAGTCAATTATATCACCACCATGATTGGCATGAATTAGACCTAATGCATAGAGACCTCCACCTTCCTGATAGGCTGATCCTGGAGAGGTGTCCTTGGGAAGATATGTTGCCATTAACTGTAATGCTTCCTTCTCATGACCCTGTAAATTGGAGTCACAAGAAACGTGTCAGTGAGATAAAGTAAAAAAAAGAGCTAACATTTTCTATGATTATTGCTTTTCTCCACATATTCACTTGCTAAAAGAGAAGGAGGAAGTGGGGCTCTCTTATACAACTTTATCACTTGAATGAGAGAAGAGCCTTTCAGAGACCCAATCACATCCTACTTAGAAACAAATGCTTCCACTTTTTCCCTTGTTTTGTAACATTTCCCAAAATGCATCTTATATTATTCAAACAATTTATTTCAATTCATCCTTTGAGAAACAGCTTAGATAATCTTCACAGGAAAAGGATTTCCACCTTTTATTAAAAACGAACACATTTATATGTACTTTAATATCTTAACTTTATCCTTCCCTAAAAGAGGACTGATTTAACAAAATGTACATGTCAATGAGTTATAGTAAACTTCTACATTTTATTAATTTCAGAAAAATTGCTCTGTTCTAATGCCTGTTCCCACTCATCAGTGTATATTACCTTGTGAATTACACCCAAACTGGCTGTAGCTGTAAATTTTGCCCAGTTAGTGGCCCTGGCCAACCATTCCAAGTTATCTCTGTAAGAAAAGAAAATTAAGTAATACTACTGAAACAAACACCCTAAGCATTTTATAATTCTAAAGTCAAAGCATTAAAAATTTACCTTGAACTATTGCAAATCATTTTACTGCATGATCACAAATTATTGCAGATTCTATTTTACCTAAGTTGTTCTTAATATTTTGAAGACTTGAAAAATGCATATGTAATTCTACTATGAACAAAAGCAAAACTATACTAAATTTCTGAGCCTAATGTATTTCATCCAAAAGCTTATACTCAAGCCAATTAATGAAGAGAATTAATTTTGCCTTAAAATAAGTAGGACCCTGGCTGGGTAGCTCAGTTGGTTAGAGTTTTCCTGATACGTCAAGGTTGTGGTTTGATCCCCAATCAGGGTACTTACAAGAAACAACCAATGAATGCATAAATAAGTTGAACAACAAATTCATTCTCTCTTTCTCTCTCTCTCTCCCTCCCTCCCCCTCCCTCTCCCTCTCTCTCTCTCTCTCTCTCTCTCTCTCTCTCTCTCTCTCTCTCTCTCTCATCAATAAATAAAAAAACTTAAAAAAAGAGAAGAACCAGTCTTAATTAAAAAACAAACAAGTAGGCATATGCAATAAGTAAATATATAAAACAGCATAAATAAAATTTAAAATCCAGGACTGGCAGCAGGGGAAGTTCTCCAATCCATGTAACAATGTCAACAGAGTTTCTGTAAACGATGACTGTACAAAGCAGAAATCTTCCAGTATATTTACCTAAGAAACTGGTCACTTGTAGTCCCACAATGCATAAAAGAGTTTGCTATAACAGTTGCTGTATGACATACAGAATTCCGTACTGCATCCTTACAAAAACAAACAGATTTTTATCATTGGCAGAGTATTCATACATATTGCAAACTCACACATGAACGTACAACCAGAGTCCCTGTTTTATGGTGAAACGTGAATGAACTGAACTAATACATTTAAAATAATGGATCTTGGCTATCCTATCTAATAAAGAGGGAATATGCTAATTGACAATCACTCTGTCACAAAGATGGCTGCACCCACAGCTGAAGCCAAGTTCCCTTAAGGAGCCTTAATGAGCAATCAGCAGGGACCTGAGGCTATGCCCTCCTCCACCCCAGGCCATGACCCCCGCCCTGGCATCAGGTTAGGGGACCTCAGGATGCGCCTCCTGCCTTTGCACCAGGCCAGAGGATCTGAGGTCACGCCTCTTGCCCGCGGGGCTTGACAGAGAACCTCAAGGTGCGCTACCAGTCCTGTGCTGGGCTAAGGGACCTTAGGCTGCTCCCCCACCCCAGCACCAGGCTAGGGGACCTCTGTGCCCTCACCCAGCAGGGATTGATGCTGGACCTCAAGGCGCACCCCCAGTGCTGGGTTGGGGGAACTCAGGCCGTGTCCCCTGCCCAGTGGAGGCTTGATGGGGGACATGAGGCTGTGCCCCACTCCCAGTGCCAGGCTGGGGGACCTCAGGCCACACACCCCGCCATAGCACTGGACCAGGGGACCCGAGGCTGCACCCCCCCTGCCTGGCGGGGCTTGACAGAGAACCTCAAGGTGCGCTACCAGTCCTGTGCTGGGCTAAGGGACCTTAGGCTGCTCCCCCACCCCAGCACCAGGCTAGGGGACCTCTGTGCCCTCACCCAGCAGGGATTGATGCTGGACCTCAAGGCGCACCCCCAGTGCTGGGTTGGGGGAACTCAGGCCGTGTCCCCTGCCCAGTGGAGGCTTGATGGGGGACATGAGGCTGCGCCCCCCTGCCAGAGGGGCCTGAAGGGGGACCTGAGGCTGTGCCCCACTCCCAGTGCCAGGCTGGGGGACCTCAGGCCACACACCCCGCCATAGCACTGGACCAGGGGACCCGAGGCTGCACCCCCCCTGCCTGGCAGGGCTTGACAGGGGACCTCAGGCCTTGCTCTTCACCCAGCAAGGTTTGAAGGAGGACCTCAAGGTGCATCCCCAGTGCTGGGTTGGGGGAACTCAGGCTGTACTGCCCACCCAGCAGCGCTTGACAGGGGACCTTAGGCCATTCCTCCAACCCAGGGGGGCTAGACAGGGGATCTCAGGTCGTGTCTACCACCTGGCGGGGCTTGTCGGAGGACCTCAAGGCAGGTCCCCCGCCCCATCTGGGGGATCTCAGGTCACACCCCCCATCCTGCCACTAGACCAGGGGACATGAGACTACGCCCCCTGCCCAGTGGGGCTTGACAAGGATGGGACTGGCCAGGTCTGGATATAGCCCAATGGGGGAAGGGAAGCCAGGTTTGGATCTCACATGATTTTGAGGTGCATGTGGGTGGATGGGACTTGACTCTGGGTTCCCCTTTTAATGTGCACAAATTTCATGCACCGGGCCACTAATTTCTTTATAAAGATCAAAAACAAGGAGGTCAAATAAAGCTTTACTTGTGGTTTTAACTTGAGGTCAATAGATTTTAGGTAGGTTAATTTAGGAAGTAGATTTCCTAGTTTTGGGGTTCTGATTAGTTTAACTTAGAATTTCTCTAAATTCAAGGTCTCCAAGATGCTGCAGTAGCTTGAGGAGCAATGCTACACCTCTTTTGCCACTGCACCTCTGGCAGCCATCAAGTAACCGTGTGTATTTTTAATAAGACTATATTATAAAGATTAGTTTCAAATAATTGTCATAAGTGCAAATTAAGTAATTCTGTTTCCTTTTGCCATTTGTAAAAATTGTATTAAAAGTTTGAGGAAGCATTATTACATATGCTTTAATCAACTATTTAGTAATGAAATAGTATATGATTTTTTAAAAAACTGAGTAAGTTACAAACCACTGCTCTTAAGTTTGCAATTTAGTAGAATCACAGGCACATAAGCTATATCAATGTGCTGACAAGTGCTTTTGTCCAATTGCTACATGTATACATTAAAATAAAAAGTGAGCTAAAGAAAATGGGGGGGAGGGGGAAATCCACTGAGAGATTAGCACAAAAACAGGAAATCAATATTAACTCTCTTTCTTTTTCAACAAGTTTAAGAGTTTCTCCCATTGTTATTTTTACATTAGAGGCCCGGTGCATAAAAATTCATGCACTGGAGTGGGGAGATCCCTCAGCCCTGCCTGACCCCTCTCACAGTCCAGGAGCCCTCAGGGGCAGGAGGCCACCCTGCGATCAAAGAAAGGCAATGCCCCATCACACCTCTGCTATTGCCGCGGCCCTGGGAGGCTAGGCAGCCACCATCTGAGGCTTGCCTGAGCCTCGGGCCAGCCCTGGGTGGCTGGTGGGCTGAGCAGACTGGGACTCCAGAGGCAGGCATGTGAAGCAGGACTGAGGGGACTGGGCGCCATATCTTGTGGCTGTGGATGCTGCCATCTTTGAAGGCTTGGCAGTCAATTAGCACATCCCCTCCTATTGGCAGTGGGTGCCGCCAGCTTTGTAATGGCTTGAAGGTCAATTAGCATATTCCCTCTTTATTAGATAGGATAAAAACTTATTTCCACAGTAAGGAATAAAATGCAACAAAGTATTCAATAAGAAATAAATATAAGTACTTATATTCAACAAATAAATATTTTTAAAAGGCTCCATTATAGATGAATTTCCTACCTTTGTGCTTTTTAGAATCATGAGATCTGTGTTATTATTTCGTATTAAAAATTGCAGATGTAACTCAATAGCCATTTCACCACTTAAAATTTTAATCATTTTCAAAGTCTGATCCTTAGGCTCTGGACTCTGCCAAAACAATAAACAAATAAAAATTCATATATTACTGAAATCCACTAAGGCAATTTTATTTTAACAGCCCAAAACCAGTAAAATTCAAATATTTAATACAATACTTATTTTATCAGTAGGATCCGGAAAACTCATGTATAATTTATTTATTAGATACACTGAGATATGATACCAGCTTGATGGAAGAATGTAATTCATTGTGAACTAGCTTCCAATGTAAAATATTTTTTAATATAAAAGAATAATTATTACTGATGATATATAAGGAAAACTTTTATAAAGCCAGCTTATACTTTATGTGAGGAACTGCTAATCCAAACAGACAAAATCCAAAGCATCTTTAATCAACACACTTATATGATCTCATGAAATACCAAGCTATCAATCAACAAAACTATCCATCCAGTTGAAGTTTATATACCTGAGCATCAGAAACCAAAAGTCCTGATGAAGAAAAAATTTATATCCATTAATATTGCTGATCTATTACTTATCTAAGTTTTCTAAACACCATGAATACTAAGAAAAAGAAAGACAACCACATAGCCCCCTCTGTGATAAGTTGCCATTTAAATAGAGGCCATACTTTTTCTCCCCCTTGACAGGTAAGTCAGAATTATTCTAAATGAAGTTCACATGTCAAACTTGCAGCCTACAACAAATATTTTTTAGGTCCAGCCAATTTTGGTATGTAAGAAATGTTTTAATAAAATTTTCATAACTTTTTACAATATCCTGTTATAACTAGAGGCCCAATGCATGAAATTTGTGCGGGGATGGGGAGGGTGTCCCCCAGCCCGGCCTGCACCCTCTCCAATCTGGAACATCCCTTTCGCAATCTGGGACCACTGGCTCTTAACCGCCTCTGCCTGCCTGCCTGCCTGCCTGATTGCTTCCTAACTATTCCCCTGCCAGACTGATTGCCCCCTAATTGCCCTCCCCTGCCAGCCTGATTGCCCCCTAACTGCCCTCCCTACGATCCTGATCACCCCTAACTGCCTCTGCCTAGGTCCCTGACACTGTGGCTTTGTCTGGAAGGATGTCCAGAATGTGTCTGGTCTAATTATCATATTACCTTTTTATTAGTATAGATTATTAATAATGAACTACAATGTTCACTAATGACTGATCACCATAATCGTGTTGCATTCATTTCCCTTACTCGCCTTACACGCAGGCACATCATTTCTTTCCACTAATACTAGCAGTGAATAATTTAGCAGCAATTGCCATATCATTAGTCTTGGACTGACTTGTTTGGTGTGTGCATCAGGAAATATTTCACTTTCAGAAAACAAGAAAAATAGGTTTGTGTTATGCTTATTAATTGTGTAGTTTATTTAGTGTCTGGTAAATTAATGTTCAAGAAAAAATATTAATTTTTATTAAAATGTCCTATTATATTAGGTTAATGATTACTCATTTATTTCAGCCCTTTGTATTCAGCATGTCTCTATTGAAATAAACCTATGAAAATTGAAGCTTTTGTTTTTTTGTGGCCCACATAACTTAAACTTTGTTTATGTGGCCCATTAAGCCTTTGAGTTTGCACATGCTTCATCTAGTGATTTGATTTCATCTAAGTTAAGTACTTACTGGTAATTTAAAATTTTACTTTTTACAGAAAATATCTTACCTAATCAAAGAGAAACATGAAAATTAACCATCATTCCGCTATGCCCACAGCCAATCAGAATGAGTATGCAAATTAACCCAACAAAGATGAAGGTTAATTTGCATAGGCAGGTGCAGAGTGGTGTGAAGCCTGCTATGAGGGGAAGGGAGGCAGCAGAGGAAGCTACTGGAGTGGTGCTCCAGACAGAAGCCAGGATATGCAGGCTCCCAGGGAGTGGGGGACTTGCCGGCTCCCGGGTGGCTGGGAAGTGGGGGACTTGCCAGCTCCCGGGAGGCTGGGATGTGCCGGCTCCCGGTGAGAGCTGGGACTTGCCAGCTCCTGATAGGAGCAGGGAGCGGAGATGTGCCAGCTCCCGGTGGCCAGGAGTAGGGACATGCCGGTTCCCGTAGGAGCGGGAACATGTCAGCTTCCAGGCAGCTGGGGAACGTGCCAGCTTCCAATGGCTGGAATGGGGAACAGGGACTTGCTGGCTCCCAGGGAGTGAAGCCAGGGGCCTATTCTTGCATGAATATCATGCAATGGGCCTCTAGTATTTTTATAAAATGACTTTGGTGTCAAATTTAGTAATAAACCTCCATAAAAACAGTTGTATTAACACTTTAAAATAATTTACAATATACTGTGGGAATATATGTTAAACACCACTTCAAAAAGCACACTTACCGCTTCTGGTGTCTTTCCTACAAGTACACTACCTGTCTTTTCTTCTGTTTCCATTGACTCACTAAAATGAAAAGAACCAACAGTTACTAATCTGATAAATCTCTTCCAAATAGCATGTCTGGGTGATATGTTACCAAATTTAAGATTTGAACTATATCCAAATTAAATATTTTACAAGGAAAAATCTTTAATCACTTCATAAATATTGCTGCTAAAAAACAGAATAAGCCATAGCTGGTTTGGCTCAGTGGACAGAGCACTGGCCTGCTTATTGAAGGGCTCCAGGTTTGATTCCGGTCAAGGACACATGCCCAGGTTGTGGGCTTGATCCCCAGTAGGGGGCATGCAGGAATCAGCTGATCAATGATTCTCTCATCATTGATGTTTCTATATCTCTATTCCTCTTCCTTCCTCTCTGAAATCAATAAAAATATATATTTTTTAAAAACCCACAAAACAGCCCTAACTGGTTTGACTCAGTGGATAGAGCTGATCTGCAGACTGAAGGGCCCCAGGTTCGATTCTGGTCAAGGGCATGAACCTTGGTTTCGGGCACATCTTCAGTAGGGGGTGTGTAGAAGGCAGCTGATTGATGTTTCTCTCTCATCAATGTTCCTACTCTATCCTTCTCCCTTCCTCTCTGTAAAAAACAAACAAACAAACAAACAAACAAACAAACAAAGATTCTAATAAGACAGACAGGATTCAGTTATTAATTTCCTCCAAATATACTCATAAAAATATACAAAGCAGTTAACTAGGTTAGAAAAATACATGAGCAACAAAACGAGGTGACAAAGTAACCCCCAAGTTCCCCAGTTAGGTGGAGATACACCATCAATAGCTTACAAAGCCAGTTTGATGTGAAGCAGTTGGGCTGCAATAATTCTCTTTTAAAAAATACCTTTAGCAATTTCAGAAAGGTAGGGAGAGGGAGAGAGAGAAACACCAATGAGGAGAAAGAATCACTGACTGGTTGCCTTCTGCATGCCCCCTACTGGGGATTGAGCCCACAACCTGCACATGTTCCCTGACCAGAATTGAACCATGACTTCCTGGTTTATAGGTTGATGCTCAATCACTGAGCCACACCAGCCAGGCTGCAACAACTCTTAAAACTAACCAGCCAACACTCTCTTCTAAGTTGAAGCACTATACTTTGAAGAGAAAGTGTCGAGTATAGAATCCAAATTAAAAAGAAAAAAATGTCCAAATAAAAGTGAAAAAGAAAACAGAGCCAAGAGATCTCAGAACATAAGACACCATTTGTTGCCAAAACCGGTTTGGCTCAGCGATAGAGCATTGGCCTGCGGACTGAAAGGTCCTGGGTTCGATTCCGATCAAGGGCATGTACTTTGGTTGCGGGCCCATCCCCAGGAGGGGGTGTGCAAGAGGCAGCTGATCGATGACTCTCTCATCGATGTTTCTCTCTATCCCTCTCTCTTCCTCTCTGTAAAAAATCAATAAAATAAAAAAAAAAGACAACATTTGTTTAATACTTTATAACACACAGAAGAGGAAATTCTAGAGGGAGGGACGTGAAATTACAAAAAGCACTTTAAATAGCCACTTTTGTAAAAGTTTAGGAAAATCTAATTTCAGGGAAAATAAGCCACAGAAAAGGTCAAAGTAAAATCCCAAAAATATTGAAACAAAAAAATTTTCAGAGGAGGTAAAAGACATTAAAAAAATTATATAAGGTAAAAGAATATTACATATCAAAATCAGAAAAACTCAGAAATGAAGTAGAACTAGGAAAAAATTAGAAATGAAAGAGGAAAATGCTAACTTCAGAAATGAAGATTAATTCAGAAGGAACATGTGAGCAAATAAATATGATACAAGAAAGGAGAAAAAACAACAACAAACTAAACGTTATTCCACTAAGATCTGGGACAAAGTAAAGATGTTCACTTTCATCACTTTATATAATGATAGATTGGAAATGCTAGCCAACGCAAAACAAGGAAGAAAAGGTATAAAAGTTACAAAGGAAAAATTAAAATTTCTAGTCACAGATTACATGATTCCTACATAGAAAATTCTATGAAAGGGTCTTTGAAAAAATTTACTAGACCTACTAAGTGATTTAAGCAAGATTAATATACAAAAATCAATTGCATTTTTATATATCAATAACAAATAATTGGAAATTGAACTTTAAAACATACCACTTTTAACTTATACTTAGGAATAATAATATACTTAGGAATAAAATACTTAGGAAATAGGTGCAAAATCTCTGCACTATAATCTACAAAACACTGCTGAGAAAAACTAAAGACATATGTATATTTAGTTCTAATAAAAGCACAAAAAACTGAGAATGTTTCATATTTCTAAACACCTAAGTCAAATCTCTGAAATTTAACCCACCTGCCCCTCCTGAGGTTTATAATTTATTAGATTAGATTGCAAACATGCTGCCCTACAGGCCCTCCCTGTTCAAAAATCACTTTCACTTCTTTCCAGATGGGTCCATTTCTCTGCTTTTCCTGAACGTGCCAAGCACAGTGCAAAACAAAACAGCTTTTAATGAAACTTTACAATCTATGAAAGCTAATGGTAAAATTTATTCTTAATATATGCAGACTATGAACATTCTACCTATTTCCAAAATAAAATAAAGATTGTTCAATTAGTTCTGATGCAGAAAAAGATACTTATACCTGTCTTTCTCTGATCCTGGAACAGTACCCGTATTGGTGGATCCAGGCACAGAAGGGATAGGGGTACCAACAGTTCGAAGATTCTGAATTACAGATGACAAAAACTGCTGGCTAGCACTTTCATACAAATCAAAACAAATCTGATAAGCCATCAGGAGGTTGTCTTCCTTCACCAGTTTTTCTAAGATATCACTCACAGCCTGGGGATCATCTAAGAAAATTAAGCACTGAAATGCAGATAAAGAACAATTACACAATTGAAAACTGTTTATTAGATACTTTAGAGTGATAAACAGTCAACATGTAGGAAACTCTAAAATATAAGTATAAGCAAGTTGGGGCAGACTAAACCAGCTAGTCTAGCACTCCATTTCTAATCCTGGCATAAAGTTTTCCTTAAAATGGAATCGGCCTTACAAGAAAATCCATACAATTTATACACACAGCTCTTAATATTGTGCCTGGCAATTAGCAATATTCAATAAGTGGTTGATGAATGAATCTTGGCTTCTTTAAATCTTACTCATAATTTACATTTATGTGTTCCTTAACTTGAAATGTCTCCTTTACCATAAATTGTAGTAGTCATTCACTCATTTAAAACAGTGTATTGTGCTTGATGCACTAAAATGATCATTTTAAAGCATTTCTCTAACTACTCTTATGATCTGCCATGTTTTAACAAAATAATCCAATAATGTTAGAATTTTTCTTTTATGGATTAATTTAAAATTTCTTGTTCTTTTCAGTAGCAAATAACTCAATTTTAGAATAAATATATAATCAAAGTTAGTAATATTAAGAATAGGAGCCTTAGCTGGTTTGGCTCCTATCGGCTTGCAGACTGAAGGATCCCAGATTCCATTTTGGTCAAGGGCACATGCGTGGGTTTCGGGCTCAATCCCCAGTAAGTGCAGGAGGCAGCCAGACAATGATTCTTTCTCATCATTGATGTTTCTATCTCTCTCTCCTTCTCCCTTCCTCCCTGAAATCAATAAAAATACATTAAAAAAAAAATAGGAAAGTGGAAAAATAGAAAATAAATGGCAAGCAACAGGGGACTGGCTTAGTGAAGCAAATACATCCACTAAATGACTCCTACACAATCAAAAAGGAGTTAGAACAAGAGTCTGTGAAGAATTAAAACAAAAAATGTTAAATTGAAGGACATATCTAATTGCTACTGTTTGCTTCTAGAAAAGAGAACTTTAGAGCTAGAAGAAAGGGGTGAGAAGAATTTTCACTGCATACTCTTGGATTCTTTTTGAATTTTGAATCATGTGAATGTATTATTACTTGTTCAAAATATATCTTAAAAACATAAATTTAAAAAGTTTTAAAGGCACAAAAAAATAAGAGCTAAAAAAAAAAATTACCTCTGAGGAATAAAACTGAAGTACACAGTTTTACTGGAGAAGGCAGAGGACAACTGCTTTTTATATAAATTTTTAAAAACTACTTAAAATGTAGTATTAAAAACCACTTAGAAGCAAACAAAACTCCAAAAATCAATATAGAGAAAACTGAAAGGAAATATTACTAAAATGTTAAGTTGACTGGGTGATACAAATATGGGTATTTTTCTTCCAGCTTTTTGTTTCAAGCTTACTTTAAAAATCATTTTTTTAAAAACATTAAAAAAAGATGTATTAACCTAAGTTTTAAAAGTTTATACAAGATGAAAATACATAATGAGAACTCATTTAACACAATGTATGATAAAATATGCTCTAAGCAGAATATAAAGATTACATAGTATGACAAATGTTAAAAAGTAAACTCAAGTGTACTTCCAGCCAATAAAATATAATATAGCCACTGAAAAGAGTGAGGTAGCACCTCTGTGCTAGTAAGTGGAGGACAAACATACTTTTGAGAAAAGACCTAGCAAAGAAAAATATATATTTTTTTGTTTTATATATTTTCTGTACCATCTGATTTTTAAAAAAATGTGTAAGCAAATTCATACATGAAAAGAGGTAAGTATACACATAATGTATTTGGGTAATGAAACCAAAGATAATTTTACACTTGAAATTCTTTCTAGAATGTTATAACAGAGATATATTATTTTTATGTTTTCTTCTACCTTTTTTTTTTTTTTTATCTTTATTTCCAAAATTTCCTTAAATGCCTGGATTATTTTAAAAAATATAAAGAATACAGGCAGGATATAAAAGATGGTGGACAAAGACTTGACCTGAGGTGGAGAACACGATAGTGTTCAGATGACGTGCTGTAGAAGCATGCACCTGAAACTTATATAATTATGTTAACCACTAGCGTCACTCCAATAAATTCAATAAAAAGGGGGGGAGAGCATAGAAAGAAAAGATTATAACAAAATAAGCTTTTAGTTTTGTGAGATTCAGTTTCTTATAGGTAAAAAGGAATATAAACTATATACCATATCTTCATAGGGCTGTGAAGACAATTAAGTTAGTAATGCAATCAAATGTAATATTATGTAATGTACAGCCCAACAGTACAATATAAAGTAATATAATATAATTACCTGACAAACATTGATAAAATCAGGTTTCTCCAGGTTCATGTAGATTTTAACTAGAACTCTTAGTACTTTATTCCGAAACTGTTTATTCTGCATTAAAGACATGCAGAGCTTGAGGCTATAAGCTAGCATTCCTGAGACATCATTCTGAAAGAAATAATTTAAAGATATATCATTATCTGATTACATTACAAGCAGGAAAGTAGGTATTGTTTCATAAAACAAGTTTTATCTATATAAAGACGTACACTGGGATGTTAAAGTAAGATGCATTTCTAACTCTTCTTTATTATTTTTTAAAACATCTATCACCCTTTACCTTGTATGCAGGGATGGGCAAAAGTAGATTTATAGTTCCCCTGTAATTATTTGCCTTGCTGCCTATTCCTCCAATGTTCCATTTGGGTAGGAACTGTGTTGGTATTTCCAATGCCTACAACAGTCTGGCACATAGTAGGCATTCAAAAAAGAAATCTTTGTTGAACGAATGAAAACAAGTATTTTCATTCTATTCACATGAAGACAAGGAGAGGCTATAACTACACAAAAACAAAACAGTAAAACAAGGGCTATTCTATCACATTGGGTGGTACAATCATTTATTTATTTAAACAAATCTTACCACTGCTACTCAACATTGCCTTGGGCTTTGGAGATACAGTAGTAAACTAGACACAAATACCTGACCTTAATGGAGGTTATAATTTGGTGATAAAGATAGATATTAACTGCCTAATAATACAATCAATTAATTACTATAGTGGTAAATACTATTGAAAAAAATATAGGTCTCCAAGAGATTAACAAAAGAATTGGATCTAGTCTTTGCGGTAGGGGTTTAAGAGAGTATTGGTGGCAGGAATTGACGGAAGGCTCTCTAAACAAGTGATAGTTGGGTTGAACTCTGGACCTTGAACTAAAATAGAGCAGGTAAAGAATTTTGGCAGAGGCAATATTTTTAGCAAGGTACATTTAGGAGCAGAGAGGAAGTCAAAATGGCTAGAGTGCAGAGAGCTAGCAAATGGAGAATAGCAAGTGGACATGCAGACCAATGTCCACTCAACTCAGTCTTGCATCTTTCTGACCATTTTGGTTGATGATTTAAAATTATCATAATTATTGCAAAAGATTCCCAAACCAGAAATCCAGTTTGTAATTTCAGTCATAAGTCTAAAAATATAGCAGTGTATCAATACAGTCTTCTTAGAAAGGAGAGGATAATTAATTCAACCTCCTCATGCAATGCTTTAAAGGCGTAAATAAAGTAAGATAAAAGTAGATATTCGGGTGAACACAAAACACAACCAACATTCTTAGAAATAAAACATTAGGGCAAAAGAGCACCTTATTATTCTAAACCAGATTTTCTTTTCATTACCTATGACAGAGATTCTATTTTAATAATTTCCTCACCAAAAACAATCTCTAAAATCATATCATCTATTATACCTACCGACTCCAATATAGTCTTTTCAAAGATATCCAATCTTCGTGTCTCCAGAGCAATGCCGATAGCTTGTTTATATTTGTGATCATCCAGACATCGCTGGAACATTTTATTCACAATGCCTTCCAATCTCTGGTCAATTGGTTTTCTTTCTCCTTCAGGCAAATCTGCATTTTCCACGCACTGTTTGGTGTAGTGATCAATGCATTTTGCTATGAAGAAAATAAAATAACTCTGGTTACCTTGTAAATGGGACCATACCACTAGAAAGGACAATACCAACATTTATAATCATAAAAACTTATGGGATGATTATAGAGTAATAAGCACATTTCAATATTTTAAAATGCTAGAAGTTATACATTCAAATTACTATTCTTCCCTTCATAACAGTTATTTTGGGGGACTACATATTAATTCAATAAGGCTGATATTATTGAAAACATTTCTATCTTGTTACTTTATTTTGACCAAAATTATCTTAAATAACTTGACTAAACTACTTACTCAAAAGAGCTGGCTACAAATAGCTGTTGTTTTACTTTCAAAAAACAAACCCTTGCTATTATTGATATTAAACAAGACCTATTATAGCAATTATCACATGGCAATAAACTATTAACTTCTTTACAATAATAAACTATTAGATCCTTGAGAAAAGTGACTGGGTCTAAATCATCTTTGTAGAATAATGGTTCTGTGCCACAGGTTCTAGAGGCAATTCCAAAGACTTCCAAAATTGTAGCACACTACAATAGTCACTGTGCCAATGGAAGGAGAGTAGAAGCTACTCACCCCAGGAGTCTAAAAATTCATGCAATGGTGTGTGTGCACAAGTTGGCTTTCTAGTCACAATAATTTGGGTGGAAGGGGAGGAGGGAGCCACATGCTGAAGAGTGCCAATTGTGCACTTGATAAAAAACACTTAAGACGTAGCTGGTTTTTCTCAGTGGTTGGAACATCGGCCCAAAGGCTGAAGGGTCCTGGCTTCAATTCCAGTCAAGGGCATGTACATTGGTTGTAGACTCAATCTCTGGTCACAGTCTGGGCAGATGTGGGAGGCAACCAATTGACGTGTCTCTCTCACATCAATGTTTCTCTCTCTCTGTCTCTCCCCCTCCCTTCCACTCTCTAAAAATCAATGAAAAAAAAATATCCTCAGCTGAGGATTAACAAAAACAAAACATCCACACACAAAATAAAAAAACAAATAAAAAACCCACTTAAATTTGTTTACAATTTATACCACTTTGCAATCACACTATGAACTTTTTAGGAAAAAACAAAAAAGAGAATTTCCCTAAGCCATCTTCTAACTTCAAATTGGAAGATAGCCATCCATTTTGAATGACAATGTAATAGTATCCTCTCTACTAGTATAATTCGTTGCCTTGTTGCTATCTCCTTTAAAGAGAAGAAAAGCTACAAAGACAGTTGCAAACTATAGCCCCAGGAAACAGAAATGATTTGAACTATCATAAAGAATTGCTGTCGAGCCTGGCTGGTGTGGGTCGGTGGTTCAGTGTTGACTATGAACCAGGAGGTCATGGTTTGATTCCTAGTTGGGGCAAAGGTCAGGTTGCAGGCTTCGTCCCTGGAAGGGTGCAGGAGGCAGCCAACCAAGGATTCTATCACATCATTGATGTTTTTTTTTCTCTCTCAAATCAATAAAAACATATTTTAAAAAAGAAGAATTGCTGTCTACTAAATGACCCATGCTAATGGATCTATACTTTAGGGGAAGCAAAGGACTTTTATAAACTAGAATATACCACATTAAGGATTCCTTCAGGTAGAAATATACAGGTTCAGATACAGTAAAGAAGAACAAAGTGGCAGTCACAAAACAGACCTTAAACAATTCTGGTTGCAGAAAATCTTCCCCAGGCTGTAATATAAGCTTTTTGAACCAAATGTATTTAAGTGAGAAAATATTAACCCTACCCATTAAAGCCTTCTTCTACCAAGATAGCCACCCATTTTGAATGACAAATGCAATAGTATCCTCTCTACTAGTATAATTATAGAATTTAGGGAGTTTTCCTTAGATTATAACTGAGGAAAAATGGTACATACCAGTTTAAAATCTGTGTTTTCACTTAGCAGGTTTATGTCATAACTACATCCCAGAATCATTCCCAGCAGGTCTTACCATAACTGGGAGAAGATTTACTAGTCTTGAATTTTCTGGATGAACTGTTTATGGCATTAAGACAATAGGAAGCCTTTCCCAATTTTTATTTAGTATATCCTCTCATAAATCCCTCAGTTTAAAAAATATTCATTCTAACAATTCCTATAAAACTAGAAATGTGAGCCCAACGTCCACATAAAGAAAAGCAAACACAACTCGCCTGTTAACTAACAACCACTTTCTATAAGGAAAGATAAATAATGTGTAGAGACAGGGAAGGCATCTACCATCTTACAGCACTATTCAGACCAAAAGTCCTATTTAAAGCATGACTTATAAAATAACAGCTTTGAAAGCACTTGCAGATCAATACTGAAAAAAAAATCAACATTCTTCAAATAAGAAAAAAGAGATAAGGAGATTAAGTGTAACTCACATTTATGTAACTTAATGCAGGAAAGTGCTCTAGTTTCAAATAACATATATAGTCTATTCTTTTTAAAAAAAAGATTTTATTGATTTCAGAGAGGAAGGGAAAGGGAGAGAAAGAAACATCAATGAGAGAGAATCACTGATCAGCTGCCTCCTGGATGCCCCCTACTGGGGATTGAGCCTGCAACCTGGGCATATGCCCTAACCAGGAATCGAACTGTAACCTCCTAGCTCATAGGTCAATGCTCAACCACTGAGTCATGTTGGCCAGAATGTACGGTCTATTTTTTATTCTTTTTTTTTTTTGGTATGGTCTATTCTTTAAAACGAGGCTGTTGAACATCCAGCTAGGCCATGTAAGGCCCTTGAAATCATTTGCTCTGGTCCTGCCACTGAATTAGGGGCGAGTTAATGAAATATTTGACCAAATAAAGCAGGCTAATTTAATTTGTAAGTTGATAATTTTGTATGGCCCTCAAATCTATATATATATAAAAGCCTAAGCAACGGGCCGACTATCTGATAGCCATGATGCATACTGACCACCAGGGGACAGATGCTGAATGCAGGAGTGGAAACCATAGGCACAGAAACATGGAACAGATTGATAAATCTCAGAGGGAAGGAGGAGGAGGGGAGGGTGGGAAGAGATTAACCAAAGATATATGCATAGTAGAGGCCGGGTGCACGAATCCCTCGGCCTGGTATGTGCCCTCTTGAAATCTGGGACCCCTCAGGGGGTGTCGAAGAGCCAGTTTTGACCCGATCCCTGCAGGCCAGGCTGAGGGACCCCACCCGTGCACAAATCCATGCCCTGGTCACCTAGTGATGTTATAAATATCCAAATGGTCCTGGCAGAAAAGTTATTCCGCACCCCTGCTTTAAAACCATCTGTTCTTGCCCTGGCTGGGTGGCTCAGTTACATTGAGTGTCACCAAAGGGTTGCAGGTTCGATCCCCAGTCGGGGTGAGTACAGGAGGCAACTGTTGATGTTTTGCTCTTACAGTAATGTTTCTCTTTCTCCCCCTCTCTTTAAAAAGCAATAAAAAAACGTAGCCTTGGGTGAGGATTAAAAATGAACATGGTCAAGTTATTTGCACCTTTTCATACCATCACAGCAAAAAGTTTAAAAATATGAAAACAAAATCCCACTTAGAACTTCAGGGACATTTGAAAACATCCCTTTGGATAATCTTGTGCAGCATTTCCCAACTTCTAAAAGAGAATACCAACTTTCTCCTTTTAAGGGATCAGGTAAATAATGCAGCTTTCCTCTTAATCAGGAATTCAAAAAATAATCATACTATAGACAGACAACACACACACTCTCTAACTATTATCTAAAGTTTGCTCTTCACAAAGACATATCTGAAGGGTATCCAGTCCCTTCTTTCATCTACTGGATCAAAAGTTTTCAAACCTACAAAATCTCTGAACAAAACCTTACATAGTTGGTTCAACTTACAAGATAGAGCAGTAATTTCAACTGGTGTCCTGCAAGAATTTTTACAACAAGCAACATCTGATTATTTAGTAAGTGGCATTAACCTTTTTTCTCTTAGATTGTCAAATTTAAAAAAAGGCAACAGACAACACAACAGCCCTCTGGTGTAAATGCCCTATCTAGAACCATAAATACATAAGCTATATAATAGAGCTGCATCTTATTAGTCAGTTCACATAATAAAGTTGTGGCTGACTGGTTAATTCTTGATACCAGAAATCCTTAAATCCAAGTATAGGCACCTGATTTTTTAAAAAGTTACCTTGGAGCAAAAAGGGTAGGTAATTACTTTATTATACTTTTGTAAATCAATCAAAATTACACCTATTTTTGTCAGATCAGCAAAAAACTGTATTTTTTGGTGTGTGCCACAAAATTTTAGTAATTAGTTTATGTGTCCCATGAGATAAAAAAGGTTAAAAATCACTCAGATAAGAGGGAAGGAGGGGGGCAAAAAAAAAATCAATAAAATATGTAAAAAAAAAATCCAAAAAAAAAATCACTCAGATAGAGAACCAAAAGCTTTGCTTTGTGCTATCCCCTCAACTTCAAAAATAATGAAGCAAATGAGAAAACGATGGTTACTAATAGAAACTATGGATTTTGAACTCTCGGTTTTGAATTTTGAACCTTCTATTTAATAGCCACATGTGTTTATCATATTGAAACCCAAGTTTTCTCATTTTTAAAAAATACACTTTTATTTATTTCAGAGAGGGAGGGAGAGAGAGAGAGAGAAACATCAATGATCAAAGACAATCACTAACTGGCTGCCTTTTGCATGCCCCACACTGGGGATTGAGCAGCAACCCTAGCATGTGCCCTGACCAGGAATCGAAGTATGACCTCCTTGTTCATAGGTCCACATTCAACCATTGAATCATGCTGGCTGAGCCCTAAGTTTTCTCATTTTTAAAACAGGGCTAAATCCTTCCTCACAGAGCAGCTGTGGTATAAACTATGGTATAAAGTATTAGTGGCCCAGAACCTAGCACAATGGAGATATTCAATAATGGCTTCCTGTATTAAAAACAACTCCATAAATTACTATCATTTAATTTGTTATTGATAATAATTTGATTTAATTTTTTAATGTAATATGCTCATTGGGCTAGAGATAACCATATCACTGAGATAACTAACTCTGTGTTAAGTTAGCTATTTCAGAATCATTTCTTAGATTCATTCTTAAAATGTTTTGTGAGATGTCCTCATCATTGCTATTGTTTTTACTGTTCATTATAAAAAAAATAAAGCACAGAATTGGAAATTAGATCTAAAAACTCAGCCTGCATAAAATTACTGTAGAAAGATTACGAATTTTCAATTAAAATAAAATTTGGCAACAACAAAAATAACTCAGAAAAAAATGAAATATACACTAGAGCAAGAAAGAAGCTGACAAGATAAAGCATTAGTACATGGAAGATAATTACCTATAATAGTCTCCACGTATTCAGAGTTATCATTGACATTGAAGAGGTCACCTGCTCCAAGTGCATAATTCAGAGACTCCTCAAAAGCCCCCAGGTGATAAAATACTTTAGATGCCACTAAGGCTGCAAACTGCCGACTCCGGAAACCTTCATCTTCATATAAAACTTCTCTGAAAGAATAAGAAGCATAAGTTTAGTTTAAACTCTGATTTTCCTTAAAATCCCAAATCTAAATATTTAAGCCACAATTTAGTAGCAGCAAATTTATAAATGAATATAAACCACAAGATCCACATCTATAATACGTTAAGTTGTTCTACTTTATCTCAATTTATAGAAATAAATTTCTTACATTTTGTCTACAGACTCAGAAATTTCTGCCCAGAAGTCATTGACAACTGCATTCAATTTGTGTAGTGCAAATTCCTGTAGAAGATAAAATCAAAATTCAATTTTGAGACAGATACAACATTACACTTCTTTAAAAAGTGTTCAACAAACCGATGGCCAAATTATCTTATTTACTAAAACTTTTATTAATCTATGACAAATATAAAAATTTATTGACATTTTCTCTTCAGTTATACATTTCCTTTCTGTCTTCAATTATCAATCATCAGACTACCATATAATGTCATTCCTTAATATAATGAATATTTTTTTTGAATATACAAGGTTGACGTGAGTTGCTGGTTTGAATATATATATAAATGAATTTAGGTGTCTAGAGCCACTTGAATTATATTCCAAATTTTTGTCAAATGAAAATTTAAAATATGGGACACAGAGGAAACAATTTTTTTGTGTGTGCTGTTGATAAACTGAGAAGTGTGGAGGGTGCTCAGGTGCCATATTGAGGTTTATGGTGTGGGGGGTGCTCAGGTGCCATATTGAGGTTTATTTGGCTTAGTTTTGTTAAACTTTAGGGAAAACCAACTGCTGTTCTCAAAGCACTGTCCTCTAGGGCTAGATTTCAATGTCTGGGTATAGGCTGGGCAAGATGGCTATTTTATTTTATTTTTTTAAATTTAATATTTTATTGTTGGAAGTATTACATATGTCTCTTTTCCTCCCATTGACCTCTCCCAGGCTGATCGTACCCCCCAAGAATGGCTATTTTAAATGATGGAAGATATACAGATACCACTAAGTTCAAAGAGCTTCACCGTATTTGTAGTAAGCCAAATTAATTTTCTTTCAACTCATACCTTAAGCTGTGGTTCTTCTTCATCCAGAAGAGAAATAATTCCAGCTGTAAGACAAAAGATATATCCTGATTATGAAATATATACTAAGAGAGAAACTAACTTAGTAAAAAAAATATGGTAGTTAGAAAAAAGTAGTTTTTTTGAAAGTGACTTCACTAGAGGAATTATTTTTCTTTAAAACTATAAAAGTTTATATTTCAAATTTTAAGAATAACTGTTATCTCATAACACTATATATATTACATTGTTTGCCTAATTCCGTGGTTTTCAAAGTATGATCCCTAGATCAATACCATTAACATTACTTGGGAATTGGTTAAAAATGCAAATTTTTGGCCCTATCCCACATCTACTGAATCAAATTGTGGGGGTGGGATCCAATAATGGGGTACAAGCTCTCCTTGTGATACTGATGCTTGCTATAGTTTGAAAATCAATGGCCTAATTTACGGACCAAAAAGGAAAACTTTCCCATATCCTACATAATAAAACCCTAATATGCAAATCAACCGAACAGTGGATAGACCAGTCACTATGATACATACTGACCACCAGGGGGCAGATGCTCAATGCAGGAGCTGTCCCTTGGTGGTCAGTGCACTCCCACAGGAAGAGTGTGCTCAGCAAAAGCCTGGCTCATGGCTGGCAAGCGCAGTGGAGGTGGTGGGAGCCTCTCCCACCTCCACAGCAGTGCTAAGGACCCCTCTGAGGGGTCCTGGACTGTAAGAGGGTGCAGGCTGGACTGAAGGACCCTCCCCACCCCCAGTTTATGTGCACTGGGCCTCTAGTAATTTTAGAATAGTATTAGTCACAAAATACACCAACAGTTAGTTATATAGTTATATACAAAAGAACGGACTATATAGTCATCAACTCATCAGGGTAGAATTTTTTTTTTAAGAATGAGATTTTTAATTTTAATTATTTCAAGATACCTATATAAAGGCTTCACCTTTGTATCACAAGTAACCTAGGTTTTGCTAAATGATGAGCAATCTTTCTTATTCTGACTTTAACTACCCAAGCAGTGTTCCCCATATGATCTTGAGGTGTTAGGACTAACACTGGGGAGTCAAGAAAGCAACTGTCCCCTCCCCCCCAAAAAAGTGCCTTCAAATACAGTCATATGTTAAAGGGAATATTAGAATAAAGTAAAAGGAAACCAAACTGTCTCTCAGATACCATGTAGGTCTTAAAATCATTCTGGAATGCTGAGTTGAAATTGTAATTTGATTAAAAAGTGTCAAGGCAACATTATTTAGAAACTATAACCATTTCTAACTGGTAAGTGTAGGTTTGCTAAATAGCTTCAGTAGTCTTTAGAGAACCTTACAGAAAAGGATACAAAATTTAGCAAACAAAACTATGCCATGGTGCCAGCTGGGGCATACTATTATATTCTAAAAGCATGAAAGCAGATAAAAAGAACTTGTAGGTTGGTATGACAAGTCCAGAACAGAGACTGAACTGACAGCATTGAAAGAAGATAGGTCAAAGAATGAAATCACTGTGTGTGTGGAGGTGGGAGGGTCTTGCAAACCCATGATATGCAATACCTGATAAACAGGAATTCTTTAAATGTAAAGCAGATCATCAAAATACTAAAAGGCTACCCCATTCCTCTCATCAATCAATAGTGTTTTGAATTGCTTTTACCAAAAGAGGAGACAGATTTTCCTATACTCTGCTGTTTGATTTCACTTCTGATTAAGTTGTTACACAGTTGTCCTGGCTTAGAAATAAAACGACTGTCCGCAGAACACAACTAAATCAAATACTCTACACTCCACACATGAATATTTTCCATCTTGAAAACAAAAGAGCACTCTCCTTTAGAGGGGGGGGGAAAAGGAAGCAGGAAATGGGAAAGATAAACGGAAATCAGCAGATATTATCTAAAACTGTTGTATCAATTTATAGTAATATTATTTGTAAATATGGAGGTATGTTCCAGAAGAAATAGCTTAAACGTTTAAAATGATCGTCTAGGCAGAAACCGGTTTGGCTCAGTGGTAGAGCATCGGTCTGCAGACTGAAAGGTCCCAGGTTCGATTCCGGTCAAGGGCATGTACATTGGTTGCGGGCACATCCCCAGTGGGGGGTGTGCAGGAGGCAGCTGGTCGATGTTTCTCTCTCATCGACGTTTCTAGCTCTCTATCCCTCTCTCTTCCTCTCTGTAAAAAAATCAATAAAATATATTTTAAAAATAAAATAAATAAATAAAATGATCATCTCTGGGGATGAGAAAGGGGAAAGAGGAGTGGGAGACTCATTTTAAAAGTTTTCTTTTATGTGCCTATATTGTTAAAAGTCACAACCCCAAACCCCACTCAGTCTCACATCTCCCTCCAGCAAACACCTATCTCTACCTCTCCACTCCTTTCTTTGTCAAGCCTCTTGAAAAATCTAGTACATATGTTGACCTCTTATTCACTATTGTGTTCTCAGTGCCTAGGGGATAAATGAATGAAGTTTCTAATCCACCCCACAGCTGGTGTGGTATCTGGGACAGATCCTAAGCCAATGTGAGCCAAGGATGGGAAATAGGGTGATAAACGGTTTGGAGAAGCTGATATGTGATCTAGTATATGTTAACAAGTGATAGTAACAAATACACCCAATACTATCACCAAAGTCTCAGGGTAGGACCTAAAAATCATTACTCCTGCCACACCTGATAGGTTTAAATTATCTGTATTAATATCCCCACCAATGCTCTCTGTCTCTACTTCAAACACTCTAGGGGTTGATTTATTCATTCAGGGCATACTTTTGAACTTCAGCCAACTGCTAGGCAATGTTCTTATAATTATGAAAATAAGTTTCCCGTCCAAAATCCTACCAGAGAGAAAGACAGTAATCAGACAAGTAAACAAAGTAATTTACAGGACTGTGATGAAGGGAGGGGACAGCTAAGAGGGACAGAGGCAGCATCTACACTAATAAAAGAGAAACATACAAATTACCATCACTCCGCTACACCCAACAGCCAATCAGAGTGAGTATGCAAATTAAACAGAAAATATGTCAGCAGCCCCCAACCCCTCTCTGCTCTGGGCCTGTGGGAGAAGTCAGGCGCCAGTGCCTGCGGCTGGCTGCAGATGAAGAAGCCGCCTGCCCCGTGATCCCTGGCCGCATCCAGCTGGAGAAGTCGCCGCCTCCCACTGCATCAAGGGAAGATGGAGAAGCCGCAGGCGCCAGCACCTGCAGCTGGCTAGAGCCTGGTAGACTGAGAGGCCGCCCACCCCGCAGTCCCAGCCACCAGCACCTCTGGCTGGCTGTGGCCTGGGAGATGGAAAAGCCACTCACCCTATGGTCCTGGGCTGCAGCACAGGCAAAGCCACCTGCCCACCATTCCCTGCGGCTGCAGCCAGCCTGGGCGCCTATGGTCGGCTGGAGGAGGGACTCCTGGGTCCCTAGTGCAGGGCTGAGGCAGAGGTGGTTAGGGGCAATCAAGCCAGCAGGGGAGCAGTTAGACATGATCAGGTTGGCAGACAGAAGAAGTTAGGGGCAATCAGTCAGGCAGGTGAGAGGTTAGGAGCCAGCAGTTCTGGATTGTGAGAGGGATGTCCAACTGCCAGTTATCCCATGAGGGGTCCCAGATTGGAGAAGGCGCAGGCTAGGCTGAGGGACACCCTCCTCACCTCTATTTTTGTGCACCAGGCCTCTAGTGTTTTAATAAAATGAGCGGGAAAGACTAGCATTTGAGCTGAAGACTAAAGACTGAAAAGCTAAGGGAGAAGTTGAGGAACAGGAGTCTAGAAAGAAGGAAGAGAATGTGCAAGAACCCTGCAGCAGGAGAGAAATAGACATATTCAAGGCACAGAAAGAATACCTGCATGATTAAGGCGTAGTAAGTGAGGAAAAGAGGAGTACAAAACAAGGCCGAAGCCTAGCCGATTTGGCTCAGTGGACAGAGCGCCAGCCTGCAGATGAAGGGTCCTAGGACATGTAGCTTGGTTCCAGGTTCCTCCCCTCCCCGGACCCTGGTCAGGGCACGTGCAAGGGGGCAACCAATTGAAGTGTTCTTTTGCATCGAAGTTTCTCTCTGTCTTTCCCTCTCTCTTCCCTTTCCCTCTCTTCTAACAATCAATGGAAAAATATTCTTGGGTGAGGATTAAAAAAATAACAATAAAATAAATAAATAATAAAATATTTTTTTTAAAAAAAACAAGGCAGAAATCATCATGAAGTCTTTGGGTAAGAGCCTGAATTTTAAACACAGCGGAAAGCACTGGGGGATGTAAAGCAAAGTAATGATATTATGTAATTAAAGTTTTAAAAAGAAGACTCAGACTACTACAGGAATGGACTGTATGAAAGTAATGGTGGAAAAACAAGTCTTAAGGCTGCAGCGGTAACCCAGGCAAGGGATGAGCTAAGGCCTGCGCTAGGAGGTGGTAAGGGGTAGATGTGAAATAGAACGAGGCCTTCATTTACAGGGGGCAAGATACTCAGTGCTTGTTTTATTTTTTAGGTAGCTCTGACTGGTAAAACTCTTCCTCTTCTTAAGCTAAAATTCACCTCCCAGTCATTTGTATCTCTTGGAGACAAACGTTTAATTCCAAGTACAGCTGACAGCTCTTCAAATCTTTGAAAATGACTTCGATCTCCCAGCATCTCCACCAATTTCTTAAGCAATGCTCATAAAAAAAGATGGTTTTGAGCTCCATCCAAGTACACGTTACTGTCTTCTGATCGCCAGTTGTTTACCACGAAATATTTGTGGGACAAGGGTAGGGTAAAACAGGACGAGAAAAGGATAGGTAGGCACGGAAAAAAAAGCACCACGGCTGTGGACAGCTCTAACCTAAACAATCCATAGCGAGGGCGTTTAAGTCACCCCTGGATCTTGGCTTGTATAATTTATCCTGTTTCTAGTGTCATTACAGGAATCTACGGGCACGATGGTTAGGTAAGTGCATGAAACCTGCTCTGCACCCCCAGGAGTCCTCTCTTCAATGCAGAATGTTTCCTGAGCCTTTAGCCTCAAAAATCCAGAGCTTGCCTCTCAGTATAAAGCCGTCTTCACCCAACACAAAAGTTCTCTGGGTGCTTTCACGGAATAAATACCCTTGCTGCAGGCCCAGAACCGACCCGCCTCAAACCTGGCTTCAAGCTTCACTCCAAGGAGAATGGGGCTGAGCCACATCCAGAGGAAGACCGCTTCGCTGGCCGGCCGCACCGGGGGGTCGTCCCTCCCAACCACCCGCGAGTACGGACCGGGGCCCGACGGCCCCACGTGGTCCATCTCGGGAGGATTCGAACGAAGGAGAACTCCTCGGGGTCCCAGAAGGACCCTGAAGCACCGCGGGTCCGGGCATGGGGGTGTGGCGGGAGGGATGCCGAGTCGGGCGGCCTGGTGCGATTCCCCCGAGCCCGACGGGGTCCCAGGGCAGAGAGGCCCGGCCGGACGGCCAGCCCCCATCCCGGGAGTGGACCCTGGGCAGCGAGCGGCCGCACAGGCCGGGGCTCCGCCGGGAGGTGCCCAGTCACCGGCCCTGACTCAGCTAAAAGCCGGCATGGCGGCTCCTCCCTTTGGGCGCCCGCTGCGGTCGCACTCACCGGCTGAGGTGATCATGGCTGCGCCCTGCACTCGCCCGCCTGTTCACTCGCAGTCCGGGCTCCGCAGTGTGTCTGTCAACTCAGGACCCACAGGCTCCGCCGCGCCTCCTCACTGCCCCGGTGCGCTGCTCAGTCAGTCGCCAGCTCGGGCCGCCGGCTCACTTCTCGCTCAGGACCCCGACCGCCGATGAGCTGTCCACCGTCCTGCCTGCCGCCCCGGCACAAGTCCTCCTCCGGCCTACGCCTTTCGCGCCACCGCCTCCGCCCCGGCCTGCGCGAAAGGATGCACAGAGCTTCATTGTTTTCTCTAACCCTTTTTTAGGTCAGAGCTCTCCCAGGGTGGTGACACTCGTCGGCACCTGGGATCAGGCCTCACAATGGCCACGCCTACAAAGAGGCCCCTCCGCCGTCACCCGCCATTGCTGAGAAAGGGCTTTGAGGGGAAGTGCGAGCGGTGCGTGCTGCAGTGCCACCTGCTGCGTGGGGGTCTCACTGCAGCGCCCACCCTTCCAAGCCTTTGGGGGCTAAGGATGTGGCAAAGACCGTTTTCTTTAAAAAGTAATAATAATAATAATAATAATAATAATAATAATAATAATAATAATAATAATAATAATAATAATAATAAACCTTTAAAAAGCAGAACCCCCTCCAAAAAAGCAGAACCTGTCTTCAAAAGAAAGCCTCACGGAAATACTTCATTGTAAGGAATCCATTATTTATTAAATCATTGAACAATGGATGTTTATATTTACATTTGGAATAGTTAATACCGTACATTTACATGTTTGAAAAAATCGTAAGTATAAAAAGATATACTGTGAAAAGTGTTCCAAACGTGAGCAGTGGGGGAGAGTCTTCCATTTTTGCTTTCCATCTGTCTGGTTCCTCCTCTTCTCCCTTCCCCCCCATAGCAATGGGGTCTTGATTTTAATATATCTTTAGAAATTGGAAATGGCAGTTGTGATTGCCATGTGCAGTCTTATACCAGCTTCAAGACCATCTTACCTTAATAGTACTAAAGAAAGCATTGACAAATACCAGTGACAAATGATGGCATTTTAAAGTCACTAGCCTTACATTTAATTGGACAATAATTACTAACGCTTAATTCTCAAAACACTGGAACCTAGTGGCACAAGTCAATGTTTTGTGGTTGATAACACATTTGAGTGTACGTATAGATTTTTAAAAAATGAGTATTCTTGCCGAAACCGGTTTGGCTCAGTGGATAGAGCGTCAGCCTACATACTGAAGGGTCCCGGGTTCGATTCTTGTCAAGGGCATGTACCTTGGTTGCTGGCACATCCCCAGTAAGTGTGCAATGTTTCTCTCTCATTGATGTTTCTAGCTCTCTATCTCTCTCCCTTCCTCTCTGTAAAAAATCAATAAAGTATATTTTTTAAAAAATGAGTATTCTTAAGCTATGGGTGTTAAGGTATATCAAATGTGATTATTAAACACGTTTGAAGAGCTCCCTTTAAACAGATTGAATGTTTGGGAGTATCATTTTACAGAGGAACTTTGGACAATCCCTCCCACAGACACTTATGTTCCTCAAACTCAGAAATCACATACAAAAGGTAACAGGTAATGGAAATGAATGGAGCAGGAGTAGAGTAAGAAAATGCCAGCTCAGCAGGATAGTGGATTGCAACTGACACTTAGGAAAGCCGTATGGGGTGGTGGTGGTGATGGTGACAAAATGAAGAGTTCGAGCTCATGTTGAGAGCAGTGACTACTCAGTCCCTGCAGCATTGCTGTGCAAAAATGCAGGGCTGTTGCTGTGAGAGCTATGATTCTTCCAAGAAAAGCCCCAAATCGGAATTTCATGTGAAATCTTCTGAATTTGCAATGTTGGCAAATGTTGGACAAAATGGCTGAAGGTGACCAATAGGTACAAACTTCCAGTTAAAAGTCCTGGAGATGTACAGCCTGGTGACTATAGCCAATCTGTACTGTATATTTGAAAATTGCTTCGAGAGTATCACAATAAAAAAAATTGTAACTATATGCAGTGATGGATGTCAACTAAACTTGTTGTAGGAATTGTTTTTCAAAATATACATATACATATACCACCTCATTGTGTTGTATGACAAAACCTAACACAATGTTTTCCTGGCTGGTGTCGCTCAGTGGCTCAGTGGTTGAGCATCGACCTATGAACCAGGAGGTCATGGTTCAATTCTTGGTCAGGGCACATGCCCTGGTTGCAGGCTCAATCCCCAGTAAGGGGCATGCAAGAGGCAGCAGACCAATGACTCTCTCATTGATGTTTCTATCTCTCTTCCCCTCTGAAATCAATAAAAGACATTTAAAAACATAATAATGTTTTATGCCAATTATACTCAATTAAAAGAAATGTTGGCAATTAATTCAAAATGTTTTAAAGTGGAGAGGTGGCCACTTTGCCACCTTTGCTCTTCAAAGAGAAGACATTTCCTATGGGAGGAAAATCATATCTCTGGCGTGGATGCCGTGCTTATAATCACCCCAACCTCATTTGGACTCTATTGAGGCCCCTCTCATCTTAGGGATGTTGCTTTCTCACCTAGATGGCGGCGCATATACCCGTGTTTCCCTGAAAACAAGACATCCTCCAAAAATAAGACCTAGCGCATGGAAAGATAAGACATCCCCTGAAAATAAGACCTAGCGCAACTTTGGGAGAAAAAATTAATATAAGACACTGTCTTATTTTCGGGGAAACAGGGTATATGCCTTCTCCCATTCTGCACTATTTAACCAGAGCAATCTTTTCAAAACTCGGCTCTAACCACTGCCTCTGCTACTTGAAACCCTCAGCTCCGTCTTGGGCTCTAGTCCTAATGCTTCATTCTTCTGTGTTTTTGTCCACAGCTGTCTTCTCACTCCCTGTTCTCCTGTGGGAGATGGATGTATTTATTGCTACGGACAAGATAGTGACTCCTAACAGGTACTCCTGCAGCCTTGCCCTGTCTCCGGAGCATTAGACTCACACACCTACCAGACATGTCTGCTTGATGCTTCTTAACCTCAGAGCTGCACACACTTCTCCATGTCTCCCAGCCCAACCACCATGTCCCCTGCCTGGATCTCAGTGTGGGGAAGGGTATCCTTCAGTTATGGAAGCAGGACCCTAAGAGGCACCTTGATCTGGTTTGAACCAGATCTGGTCTCCTTAACATTTCTCAGACCAGCCCAGTTCCCATGTCGCTCCGTTACTCGCTGGTGGCCTTCTCCTCTTCTTTTCCAGCTGCAACAGCAGCCTGGACTTCCTGTCTGCTCTCTCACAAGTCTTCAGTCCACTTTCACGGCCAGCCAAAAGCACTATCAGGAAACAGGAAGGCAAGGAGCCTCTCCTAAGGCTCCTCCGGGGCTTTCACCCAACCCTGCTTACCTTCCATGTTCATGTCCCTGGCTTGCCATGCTTCATCCATCCAGAACTATGTGACTCCCAGAGGGGCCATGAGGTTATGAATCTTGTCTTTGACCTTGGTACCTGCTCTTTCTTCGGTCTTCAAGGATTTCCTCCCTCCCCCCACTCACCTCTGTCTAATATGACTTGTCTTGAGTCTCAAACAGCACCTCCTCCGGGAAGCCTTCCTTGCCTACTCCACTATGTGTTCTCTTACAGCTTTTACCCCACTACAGCTATAGTCATGGCTTTGTCTATGTTCCAACGGAACAGGGAAGTACTCGAGGGCTGTCAGTTAGTTATTGACACAAGGCTAGAACTTAGACCTATGTTTCAGAAACCCCTGCCCTTTCCCAGACAAACTCTATTTTCAGCGAAGACTTGGGACTTAGTAAAACACAGAGAGAGCCGAAACCGGTTTGGCTCAGCGGATAGAGCGTTGGTCTGCAGACTGAAAGTTCCCGGGTTCAATTCCGGTCAAGGGCATGTACATTGGTTGCAGGCACATCTCCAGTAGGGGGTGTGCAAGAGGCAGCTGATTGATGATTCTCTCTCATCGATGTTTCTAACTCTCTATCCCTCTCCCTTCCTCTCTGTAAAAAATCAATAAAATATATTAAAAAAACAAAAACAAAAACAGAGAGAATTCTTACCAAGTGCTCTGTATATAAACAACTACCTCCCTCCAATTTTAGGAGCCAAAACAAGGAAAGCTGTGGGCTCTCACAAGTAGGGGCTTGGTCAGGGCCTCTGTAAGGGCGAAGGGAGGGAACTGTTCTCTGCCCCTGTGCCCACCTCCAACAGGATTTCAGTTCTGAGCTTTGCACCAGCATCTCCAGGACCCCATTGCGGCGCCCTCTAGTGGTCATGGTGCTCCGCAGAAGGCGAGGAATTCGGGAAGTGGTGTTGCCTTGTGAGCACCAACCCCTACACCCCAGACCCCTAGCCTCCTGGCATTTAAATCCTGGGCCACAGGAAGCTTCAGCCAAACTGTCAAGAATCAGGCTTGATTGCTTTTTGAGCTACAGTGCGACGAGGTACAAAGAGCAGGTGTGGGAGCCAGGAGACCGTACTCTGTCACTTAGCGCTGGTTGTGGCCCTGTGGTTGCCGAGCCTTGCTGTAGAGGAGCAGGTCCACCTTCCTGGAAAGGCTGCTGAGAGGGGAAATGCTCTCTTCAAGGGTCTGACATAGAACAGTGCTCAATAAACCTCAGATCTTATGTTACCGGGACTGGCCAGGCTGCTGCTTGAAGCATTTATTCATGCGAGAAGAAAAGTGCAATGCAGCTGGTGACATAGGCCTCCCTCCCCACCTTGGGTGCTTGGTGGGAGGGAAACACCTGGCCAGCGTTGGAATCGGCCTCAGCTCACTGAGGCACAGAGAGACCCGGGAAGCCATAGGACGCTGGCCTTTCCTTTCTTTAAGGATCATGTTCAAGAAGGCAACTCCTATCCGGAAGGTTGCCCTGGAAGTCACCTAGCCCAGGGTCTGGATGACTAACCACCTCTGGGTAAGTGGCCAGAGGTGGGAGGGGCCACAATGAACCCCAAGGCAGGCCTCCAGCAAGTTTCCAGTGTTCCAGACCATCACTGCGGCACCCCGATTGCCACGAGCCACAGGTGCCATGGAGCACTTGGAATGCGGCTGGTGAACTCAGGAACGGATTTTTTGTTGTTTCGAATCCTCACCCCAGGGTATTTTTCTATTGATTTTTAGAGAGAGTAGAAGGATGGGGGAGAGACAAAGAGAAACAGCAATATGAGAGAAACTCATAGATTGGCTGCCTCCCACACATGCCCTGACCACACATTTCATTGGGGATTGAATCTGCAACCAAGGTACATGCTCTACCAGAATCAAACCCAGGACCCTTCAGTCCAAGGCCCAATGCTCTATCCACTGAGCCAAGCCGGCTAGGGCAAAAACTGATTTTATGTTTAATTTTGTTTCATTGAAATTTAAGACTGATACCCAATTCAGTTATAGGGAAGCTTTTAAATATATTTGAAACAAACTGAGGATGTGAATCTATTTTCTCAGATGAAAATTTAACAAAATCTAGACAGACCACATATTTTGGATAAAAATTTAATATTTGAATTGGGCTCTAGGTGTAAAATTCTCACAGGATTTCAAAGATTCAAATGTCTCATTTTTTTCTTAATATTTACAGATGAAAAACTATTTTTTAAAAATATATTTTATTGATTTTTCACAGAGAGGAAGGGAGAGGGACAGAGTCAGAAACATCGTTGAGAGAGAAACACCGACCAGTTGCCTCCTGCACAACCCCCACTGGGGATGTGCCCGCAACCAATGTACATGCCCCTGACCGGAATCGAACCCACAGACCGACAGTCCACAGACCAATGCTCTATCCACTGAGCCAGATAGGTTTCAGCTGGAAAACTATTTTGGACATATTGGGCTAAATAAGAGATATTATTAAGATCAATTTCACCTGTTTCATTTTGTTTTTCCAATGTGGCTAAAGCTACATGCGTGCCTGGCGTTAGGTTTCTCTTGGGCAGGGCGGGTTTAGTTTCGCCCCAGGTCTTGTTCCTTCCGACTGCCCACTCAGGCCAGGCCTTTGGCCGGCTTCTCCGTCTCGCCTGCTTGGGTTCTGGCACAAGTTCAGACCAGACCAGGTGTAGAGGCTGAAAGGAAACCCACTCCTGTCAGGGAGCAAGGGGCTGGGAGCGGCTGCCCCGGCAGCCAGGACTTCTGGAGCCGGCCATATACCTGGGGTGCAGGTGGCCAGGGGAGAGTAGTTTGGGGTTGGGGCAATGATCTGAGGCAACACCCCACTCGGTGAAGACCTTGGTACTCAGTGAGGGCGAGAAGAAAGTCAGGATGACAAGAAAGGGACCCAACATCTACAACCAGGACTCAGAATGAGGGGCCTGGTTCTGTCTGGGGTAAGAGGGGTTTGTTTAGACCACAGGTTGGGGGCGCAGGTTTGCCTTGGTTTTGGCTTGACAACCTAGGAACTCCTCTTGTGTGATCCATCTTGGAGACAAATACTTTGAGAAGAGAGAAACTGACACTACTATTATAAGGGGCTCTCTGACACTCTGTTAAGGCCATTTTATTGCATGAAACGTGCGTAGGCACATGCAAACATATACTCCCTGTTAGCTACCAAGCTAAATACTATCTTTAAAAAAAAATCTCTTTTTAACTACTTTCCAACCCCAGCCAGTAAAGTTGCAGAGATGTCCCTCAGGGCCGTGCTCATGGACCTTCAGGCTAGACTATTTCAGAGCTTCCCACCATTTGCCCAGAAGCCCCGCTCCCAAGACAGAAGGGAAGAGCCGTTGTGCTTACATTAGACAGCAGTGAGGCACTGTTCGGTTTTATTAGGTCTAAGGAATCATCCATTCAAGCCAGAAGCAGTTCAACTGCCGTGTTAAAAAGATTAGTACCAAGAACCCAGACTGTGACCCGACAGGGGCCCCTGGTCAATGGCTCCCGGCACCACTAACCTAATCCGGGGCCTCCACTCCCATCCAGGCCCACCCCAGAGTTCAGGCCTTGGCCCAACACCAAGGTCCATCCAGCACCTAACTCTTCTGCCTGCTAGACAAGAGAAAAGGACGCTGCTAGCTTAGCCATGTGCCACGGAAGCCCAGAGGGGCCTGGGAGGATGTCAGTCCAGTCTTTATCAGTTGGGAGGCAGAGCCTAATCTTAGTCAACGAAGACCCTCTCTGTTTAAATATTTACAGGAAATACTGAAAGTGGTGAAAAATGTGCACACCACCCTTTGCACCAGAGGCTTGCAAACTCAAATGCCTCCCAGGGCCAGGACCAGGCAGCGGGCTTATCTCAGTGGAGTGCAGTAGAGGGGAGGGTGAGAAAGGGACTCCAGTGTGTAGGGGAGTCCCTTTCTCACCCTCCCGCCCTGAAAACAAGCTTTTTATGTGCAATTCCCAAGTTTCAAATATTGGCAACAAACTCCTGAGTTTTTAAATACAGCGGAGGCTTCTGCCTTTCAACTTCTGCCTTAGACTTTTCTACCCTCCCCCGACCAAATAACAAAATTCTAACCAAATCATTACAAAGAAATTAATGGATAAATAGGAAAATAGAGCAGCTCTAACAATACCAGTCCCCATATTTTACAACGACATCACCAGTAATTTATTGAGTCCATTCTTGGGCAGAAGGAAGTCAATTGGGTCCTTCTACTGGAGAGATACTTTTGCATTACTGAAATGACACATGCTGTCAAACCACCCAAATTAAGATGTCATCGACCTGCCCTCACACCTGTAGGGATTAGGGTCCCTTTTGCAGAAAAGAAACTGAGGCACAGAGCAGCGAGGGTCCTCTTTCGCATCACAGAGCCCCTCAGCCACAGGCTTGCCACTCCACATTTTGGCACTATCACAGTTATTTTGGCAGAAATAACTCAAGGAAGTTATGCAGCACCTGCCAGAACGCTGGGCAAACAGTAGGCACAATTGCATGTCTGCTGAGTGAGTCACGCATGAATGAATGAATTTAACTACTTCCCGATAGTACTTCCTACCAGGGAAAAATCAGAAATTCCAGAGACTGGATTTCTCCTGGCGGGCACGGAAGACAAGGGAGGTAATGCAGAGCTCCTTCTCTGAGTGAACAGATGGTCTTCCTGGCTTTTAAGGGAGCATCATTGACCCTGTCTGACTCATAACCAGAGAAAAAGGGGTTCAGGCACTCGGCACCTCTGGGCTGGGTCGGCTTTGGCCTTAGGTTAGGACCTGAAATTGAGAGCAAGTCTTATGCCCTGGTATTAATCCATAACCCAACTTCCCTTCTGTTTGGTGCCTTATTCTCAAAAGAACTTGGCACAGAAAGTCAATGGCAACATGAGGAAGAAAGACCGTTCTTTCTTCTCATGGCTGTGCAAGGCTGTTTCTGTCCTGGGCCAGCAGCACACAGAGCATCTTGCTCTGGCCCCCAGGCCCCAGACCCCCAGGCTCCCAGGTGGCAGTGCAGTCTTTATTCTGACTTGCTCAGGAGCCAAGGTCTCAGGAACCCCAACCCTCTCTGCTCTGGAGGACTCTTCCTAGAATTTGACAAAGGGAAGAGATTGGTTCATCCAATATCTCAAAGGTGCCACGATTGGCATTTTTAGTGGAACAATTCTGTTTTTGGAGCTTGCCCTACACAATTCGAGGTGCCCACTAAATGCCAGGGGTGCCCTACAGTCACAGTGAAGCCACACACACACACACACACACACACACACACACACACACACATTTCCAGTGCTGCGTGCAGGTGGGTAGCCTGTCCCCTGGTTGAGTGACAGGTCTAAGAGCTCCCCTCTTCCTGTTTGATAACTCCTGGTCCAGAGTTCTTTCCAGCTGCATGTGAAGTGATGGATGCTCATGCACACAACCACGGGATGCCACAGCACCACAGAGCCTCAAAGTAAGCTGCCCTCTGTCTCAATGGCACAGAGAAACCAAGGCGCAGAGAGAACAAACCACCTCACCGAGACCAGAGTGACCAAACTGGAGGTGGGGGAGGGACCCAGTTCCCAGAGGATACATTTTCCCAGGCTGGCTTAGCTGAGTAAGTAGAGCTGCCTTGCTGGTAACTGTCAACGCGGCAGTTCCTTGGAAGGTGGGGCTTCGTAGTGACTGCAATCCCAGGGTCAGCGTGGAGGCCTGGGGGCTCAGTGAGGAGCTGCAGCAGCCCCGTGGCCCAGACTTCATCTGGAGTCTCCAGCGGGCTCATCCGGAGTGTGGGCAGCTGGGTCACAGGCTCCCGACCCCTTTCCAGGATCCTCACAGTCTCCGTTGGGAAGTATGACTGTCAGCGCCAGCTCCTCTTCCCGTTCCCGGAAGTTACCTGCAACACAAGAGAGGGAATCACCCAATCAGAAGGTAGAGACTATGAGTGAGTAAGCTAGGAACCAAAGGAAGGAAATTGGACCCAGTGACTATCTACTCAAAAAAACACAGCAAAAACCATATCAAAAACCTTAAAAATGTACATACCCTTTGACCCAGCAATTCCACTTCTAGGATTTTATCCTAAGGAGATAATTAGGAATAATTAGTGGAAATGCTGCAGTGATCTTGCTACCAGACTACGGATGAAACAACACGAGGATGGCCCCTCAGAGAGAAGGAAAGAACCTGAGTCCTTGGTGGGGTCACTGGGCCCCTGAATCAGCTGGCCCTGACGCTGAATCACCTAGTGAGATCGTGAGTGTCTGTGCGGCTTGTGCTAGTTGAGTCACGGTTTCTTGATCTGTAACTGAAATCAATTACATCCTAATTGATTTGAAGTCCAACAAAGGGATTGAGTGAATTAACTGATTCACCCATATAATGGGATTTAGGCATTCAAAATGATGTCTAAAGTTCCTTGAATTACACACACACACACACACACACACACACACACACACACACACACTGCAAGTGAAATTGGGGAAATCTGAATATCAAGATCTGTAGATTGTTTCAATGTCAATATCCCAAAATGATGATGGAGAGGTCTAAGTTAACATATTTTTGCAATTAAAAATTTTAAATACCTGATGCAGATTTTATATACTATATAGAAGCAAAATTATTAAAATTTAAATAGTTCAAGGAGATATAGACAGATGGTTGGGCAGAATGGGTCTACTCCAAATAGGAATTTGTATTTGCCTTTGAGTGATGGGATTAAGTGAATGCTTTATAAATATTTGTGTTCCTTCTTCTATTCTTGTTGAGCTTTCTGATAGAATTCTCAGATGGCCTCAAAGATCCCCACCCTTTGGTATAATCCCATCCTGCATAATCCCCTCCTTTGAGTATGGTGAGACCTGTGAATATGATTAGATAGTCACTCCCTTGTTTGGGCCCCTTCTTTGACAAAGGTGATGGAGAGTCACTCCTGTGGTTATGTTACGTGATAGGAGCCGGAGGAGTCCCTGCCCACTGAAGGAGCACCTGCCTGAGAGGAGGGAACTCTCAGAGCTGACAGTCAGCAATAAGGCAGGGCCCTCAGTCCTACGGTGGCAAACAAATGAATTCTGCCAACAATCAGATGAACTTGAAAGAGGATCCAGGCTCCGTCAAGGCATGAGCCTGCCCACACTGAGGCAGCTTTGGGAGCCCCTGAATGGAAGGCCCCACTAAGCTGTGTCCTGACCCCTGACCCTTGGAAAGTATAAGAGGATAAATGGGTGTTGTTTTAAAGCAGCTCAATTTGGGGTAATTTGCTACTAGGCAATAGAAGACTGATAACATCAAGTAATGATTTTTTTTTAAAGAGACATAATAGAAGTTCATTTTAAAGCACTACTCACTTTTTCTATAACAAAACTATACTAGTCAGTACACTCTAGGGTTGGGATCATGTGTATTCAATGGGTTACAACCTGCTTCCCTGAGAACAGTCAGGTGCCCCATAATGACATTTTGGTCTATGAGGTTATAGTGGAGCAAAAAACCCCTATTGCTCCCAAGCAGAGGAACAATAAGCTATCCCTAGGCATGTAGCAGGCTACGCTGTCCAGGTTTGTGTAAGTGCACTATGACGTTTGCACAGTGACAAAATCGCCTAGGATGCATTTCTCCGATTGTATCCTAGTAGTTCAGCAGTAAACAATTGTCAGTCCTCTCTGGGTCACAGCAAACTAAGCCTATGGAGTACCTCTGTGGATCTCACTATCTTTCTTTTCCTTCTCCCTCACTTCCCCTTAGCAGCCTGATGATTCTACCCTAGAAATGGCTCCGGGTTGGTGAGCTCCTTCCTCTCCAATCCAACACTGCCCCCCTTGGGCCAGGCCCCTCATCATCCCTCCTGGGACTATGCAGCCCCTCCTAGGTGGGTCTGCCTCTGGTGGCTCCCTGCTCCTCCCGTCCAGTCACCTCTCTAAACACAGCCCTAGTCTCCGCGGCCTTTGCTCAGAAATCGCCAGGGTCTCAACTCTCTGCTTCAGCCTCAGCTCTCAGCAGTCTCCTTCTGCACCTCATCCCTGGCCCTCTTGACAGGGGTCCCTTTTCGGAGCATGACATTACGCTGTTAAGCCTTTGTTCATGATGCTCCCTCTTCAAATCTTCCCATTGCTGACTAAGACAATCCCTTGACACCCCCTCACTTGCTCTGTGAGACCATGGGTCTGACTCCACGTGCCTTGCCATGTCAAAGACTCCTGGGGCTAGAGCCCTGTGATCAGACCGGTGTGCTGACCCCTGGTGGCCAGGGCACCTCACTCTGCTCACTCTTACCCTGAACACATGGTCAATGCTCCATGGATGTCAGTCCTCTCTCTTCCTAAGGTCCCTGAGCATGTGACCACTCTCTTAAACCCAAGCACCTGGCCCTGAGTCCAGGAGCAGGAAGCAACTCACTCACCCTGAGCGGGACCACTGGGGGAGGTGGTGGCATATGGGTCCTTCCCTCGGCTCCAGGGACCCCAGGAGAAGCACGCCAACAGCGCCGGGAGGCCCGGTCTCTCCCAGGCTCCTTCTGCTAAAAGGAACACAAAGTCCCAGAGGCAGCAGGTCACACGGTGCTTGACACAACTGAGAGGTTTTCAGTTAAGCAAACCAAGAGCTTCAACTATTAACTGCCCTAGTTTCAACTGTCTGATTAGAAACCAAGATTCTGATTTGCAAAAAGGGGAGGAGTTTTTGTACTTGAAAAAACAAACAAACAAACAAACAAACAAACAAACACAAACACAAACAAACAGCCCTGGCCATACAGCTCAGTTGGCTGGAGCATCATCCTGTACACCAAAAAGTTGTGGGTTCGATTCCAGTCTGGGCACAAACCCAAGTTTCAGATTTAATCTCTGGTTAGGGTGCTTTATATAAAGATTGCTTTATATATATATATTATACCATTTCAGCCTCACAAAAACTCTACGATGTAGGTACCATGTTGGGGAAAGTACCTTGACAAGAATGACAGGATATGAACTACAATTACATAGCACCAAAGAAAATACTCAAGGAGCAGTAATTTCCCCCTGCTTTTTAGTTCAAACTACTTCTTACTATGAAAAGGCTTAATCTTTTGAAATAATCACATACAAAACACTTATATGTTGATTCTAGTTTCCTTATTATAGTATCATCTAAGTGATGTAGGGATCACTTAAGAGCCCCAACTATGTGGAATAAGGAAACTGCAAAGGAGGGGTTTTTTTACACACACAAAACAACTCCAGGAAGCCAAAGTAAAATTGGTATTAATTTTTCTTTACTTGGGGCTTATTTACTCTTAAAATATATATATATATATATATATATATATATATATATATATACACATATTATTGATTTTTCACAGAGAGGAAAGGAGAGGGATAGAGAGTTAGAAACATCGATGAGAGAGATACATCGACCAGCTGCCTCATGCACACCCCCCATCAGGGATGTGCCCACAACCAAGGTACATGCCCTTGACCGAAATCAAACCTGGGACCTTTCAGTCTGCAGACCAATGCTCTATCCACTGAGCCAAACCGGTTTCGGCAGCTTATTTACTCAATTCAAACCCAGTTCTAAAAGACTGGATTCCTAGCTTTTCAACCCAATGGCAGCTGGATTAATAAACTGGATAAGAGGAAGGACATGTCAAGAGACAAGCAATCTAAAACTGTAAGAATAACCAGGAGAGAGTGAGGAAGGGGACTAGGAGGCTTAAAAAAGCCAAATGCAATTGCTAGGAAAACCTTGGCATCATGAATGTGTGAGTGGTGCTGCCCAGCGCAAAAGCCCAGACAAAATTAGTGGACAATGATCATGCTCATGACCTGTAGTCATTAGCAAAAGGTTTCATATTGTTTATGTGTTTTTATAAAAGTAGAAATTAGTTTACTGCAGTAGAGATCAATTCAGTGTTTAAAAAGAGGCAAGGTTCTGCATGCCAGGCAGTTAATGGGAAATGGGAATATATCGGTGATTAAATGCACAAGGAAAAGTGCCAAAGCCATTGGTAAGAAACTCGAGAGTGGAGGTAAGTTTTGAGATTTCATTTCTGAACTTGTAAAGGAATAAGGGAGACCAGAGAAGACTTCTTGGAGGAGGAAGTCCAGTTCTGAATGATGAAATGGGGTTGGTCAGGTGAGGAGGTGGAATGAAAGAAAAGGCCTTGAAAGAAAGCAAGAAAGAGCCTTTAAGACTTTCATTCCAGGCAACTGCAATGTGTATACAAAAGCTTAGGAGGCCAGAGCAAGCTTGGCTTTGAGGAATTAATAGCTATTTCCTGGGCAATGGGAGAAACTAAGGGCTCAGAACCTTCCAGGCACCAGCTCATTGGGGGTGGGGGAAGGTAGAAAATTTCCTCCCATGGGGCCAGGTCAACAATCAGAATGACAGTCCACCTCAGGACATTCCCTGTCTTTCAGAATGCAGGTGGTGGAGTTTCAGATGCAGCAGAAAGGGCTGTGGGCATGGGGCAGGCGGGGGGGGGGGGGGGGGGAGGGGGGGAGGAGGAAGGGACAGGAGAGGTTAGGGCAGGTTCTTATGGATGGCCTCCACCTAGCAGGCCAGGCTGGCAGGTAGGTCTGTGACTTTTGTGACATCAGAGATACCAGGTCTCCTTGCTGGCCCCCCCATCCCCTCCCCAAGTCTGGCACCTCCGGGTTGCTGATTAACACAGCAGTGTCCAGATAGGCAGAGCACAGCAGCCTCTGTCTTCAAAAGTAAGTTTGGGCCGGGACCGTTTGGCTCAGTGGATAGAGCATCAGCCTGCAGACTGAAGGGTCCCGGGTTCGATTCCGGTCAAGGGCATGTACCTTGGTTACGGGCACATCCCCAGTGGGGGGTGTGCAGGAGGCAGCTGATTGATGATTCTCTCTCATCGATGTTTCTAACTCTATCCCTCTCTCTTCCTCTCTGTGAAAAATCAATAAAATATATTAAAAAAAAAAAAGTAAGTTTGGCAGAGAATGGAGGGAAGACTAGAGGGCCTGGAGAAGGGCAGGTGCTGGCGGTGGGGCAAGCAGGGATTGCAAAGAATGCTCGATATCTCCCAGCTTTGCCAGATCCAGCTGTACTTAATGTCTGTATTTTAATCCGAGGACACTGGAAAGCTCTTGGAAAACCTTGTGTATTAGGAGGGAGGAGCTTCTGACTCCTCTGTGGATGGCAGCAGAAAAAGACCCTCACTCGCTCCCCAGACTGCAGCAGAATGTGAAGAAGGGAAGGGAGGTGGCACTGCAGTGGCTGCACAACCAGGGCGGGTAGCCAAGAGGAACTAGAAAATTCCGTGTCCGCATTCAGTCCCTCACACCCTTTCCCCACACCTCCAAGTCACACCCTTTCCCCACACCTCCAAGTCCCAGCGCTTATTCCTTTTGCCTTCTTCCTAGGACCCGCGGCGCTTACACACCGAGCCTCCTCCACCTCCCCACCTTCCCATCTTAGCTGCGCAGCGTCCTAGGAGCTAGGAGCTCCAGGCACCACCAATCCCCTCCCTCCAGTCCTAACTCGGTCCTAATCCCTCCTTGAAATTTGTGCAACCCAAGGCTTTCCTATCTCTTCCCATTCCACTCCCCTCTTATCTCCCCCCTCCCCCCTCCCCAGCTCCCAGATCTTTGACCAGCCCAGTAACCCCTCTAGCTCCATCAACTCCCCTTGCCTTCTGTTCGTTCCCTCGGCTTTCCCGAGCCACTGTCCCTCCCCATGCTTTCAGGATCCTCCCGGGGCAAACTCGCCTCCTGGCCCATGCTAGCTGAGAGGACCCATGCTAGGCACCTCCCCTCTCGGGGCCTCAGTTTACCTCGGTGCACCAGCGGGCTGACCTAAAGAGTTCCAACTTCGGGGCCCTGCCCCAGCCACCGCCCGCCTGCGCCCCCCGGGCCTTGCGCCCCCTCACCTGGTCGCGCGGGCCCGGCTGCTTGCAGGGCCCTGCTGGCGGCGGCCTGGACGGCCAGGCTGGCGGCGGGGTGGCCGGGGCAGTAGGTGGCCGCCTGCACCGGGCCTCCCGCCTGGCGGCCGAACACGGTGCGCAGCAGCGCCTCCAGGAGCCGCAGCATCGGCGCCGCCGCGTCCTCCGGCCCCGCCTCGGCCACCAGCACCCCGACCAGCGCCGCGCCGGCCACCCGCCGGTCGCGCACGTCGCGCAGCATCTCCCGCAGGCGGCGCCGCGGCTCCCGGGCGGCCAGCGAGGACGCGCGGCACAGCACGAAGACCAGCGTGGAGCGGATGGCGCGCGCCGCGGCCGTGTCGGGCACCCACCGCGCCCCCCGCGCCCCGGGCCTGGGGCCCTCGGCCGCCGCGTCGCCCGGCTTGGCCGCGGCCGGCTCCGGCGGGAACACGGCGCGGGCGAAGTCCCGCAGCAGCGCGCGGCTCTGCTCGCGCTCCCACAGCTCGCCCACCAGCAGCACCTGCCCGCGCCCGCCCGCCGCCTCCACCAGCGCGGCGAACGGAGGCTCCGGCCGCGCCGCCGGGAGCGCGGGCCGCGCCGCCAGCGCCTCCAGCTCGCGCTCCATGCCCGCCGCCGCTAGCCCCGTGCGGCCGCCGCTACAGCCCCGCCGCCCGCCACCGCCCGCCTCCACCCCGGGACGACACGCCCCCAGGGCCTCGCCGGCCCGACCCTCCGCCCGCGGGCCCGGCTCTCCGCGCTCCGGCCCGCTGCTGGGCTGGCGGCTAAAGCTGTGTCCCCCAGCCTCCCCGGGGCCTCTGAGCCGTGCGTTCGCTCCCCCAGCCACCCAACAAATGCTTATTAAGCACCTACTAGGTTCAGGATAGCAAAAGGGGGAAATGATCACGTGAACAAATATACCCCCTCCCAAGTTAGTTTTGAGACCTGGAGCAGATGCGTCTGAGGTAGAATCTATAGGGTGTTGGGATTGGAACCTGTAGAGCCAGGGCCTGCCCCTAACAGTGCTGCTTTGGGGTGATGGTGGTGGTAGTGGGCACCAGAGAAGGGGGTAAGGAATGAGAAAAGCAAGGAAGCAGGGGTTTCTTTTATTCTGTCATTTACCCCCCACCCTCCCACTAGGGGCCTTCGGCATTTAACAAAAAAATGAATTGAGGGCGCATTATTTCAGCAAATACTTATTACTGGCAGGGATACCTTTCCTCTAAGGGTCTAAGTCAGCTTTGTGCAACAGATCATTCTGAGTTGTGCTTTATTCTATCTGCACTGTCCAATGCAGTAGTCACTAGCTACCCGTGGCTGTTATTGATAGCGTGAAATCTGGCCAGTAAACCTGAGGAAGTGAGTTTTACATGTTATTTTATTTAAATTAAATAGCTGCATGTGGCTAGTGGCTGCGTCGTTGCAGTGATGGTCGAGGCTCTTTACTTCCCATCTATTACACCAAAGGCCCTTTAGGTCAAGAACCTATTAATACTCAGCTCTCACCTTTACCATAAAACTCTCAATCTGCTGGTCTAGTTACCCTCTGGCCTGCCTCCTATAGTTACGCTGAATCATCTCTTGGAGAATTTGTATGTCCATTCAATAAAACAAACCTTTGTTGAGCACCTTAAAAAAAATATATATAGTTTTATTGATTTCAGAGAGGAAGGAAGAGGGAGAGGCAGAGTTAGAAACATCATTGATTGGCTGCCTCCTCCATGCCCCCTACCCAGGAACTTGGGCATGTGCCCTTGACCTGAATGGAACCTGTTGCTCAACCTATATTTACTGAGGATCACATCTGTATTCTAGGCAGCTGGATGGCAGAAGGCTAAGGAAGGAACAAAAATCAGATTGACTTGAGATTTCTTTCTTTTTAAAAAAATATATTTTATTGATTTTTTTTTTTTTTTTTTTTTTTTTTTTACAGAGAGGAAGGGAGAGATAGAGAGCTAGAAACATCGATGAGAGAGAAACATTGACCAGCCATCTCTTGCACACCCCCTACTGGGGATGTGCCCGCAACCAACATACATGCCCCTGACCAGAATTGAACCTTGGACCTTTCAGTCCGCAGACTGATGCTCTACCACTGAGCCAAACTGGTTTTGGCTGATTTGAGATTTCTTAACAGCAACACTGGCCTTAAGGTAGTTGAGTAATATTTAAAACTGAGGTTTTTTAAAAAAATATATATATATTTTATTGATTTTTTACAGAGAGGAAGAGAGAGGGACAGAGAGTTAGAAACATCGATGAGAGAGAATCATAGATCAGCTGCCTCTTGCACACCCGAAACCGGTTTCGGCTAAAACTGAGTTTTGATTTCTAGTTAAATTATCAGGTATTCAAAAGATGGGAAGGTTTATCACATAGAGTCCCTCTTTGAAAACACTTTTAGAGAAAGCACTCCAACATGAAGAGAAATCAATACTATAGGTGTGCTCAACAATAGTGAGAAGAATTAAATCACTTTTTAAAAAATATAATTTATTACCCTACCTGGTTTGTCTCAGTTGATGGAGCATTGGCCTGCGGAATGAAGGGTCCCAGGTTCAACTCCAGTCAAGGGCATGAACTTTGGTTGTGGGCACATTCCCAGTGGAAGGTGTGCAGGAGGCAGCTGATGGATGTTTCTAACTCTCTCTCCCTCTCCCTCTCCTTTCCTCTCTGTAAAAAAAAAAAAAATCAATAAAATATATTTTAAAAAATGAAATATATTTTTATTGATTTCAGAGAGTAAGGAAAAGGAAGATAGACACATCAATGATGAGAGAGAATCATTGATTGGCTGCTTCCTGCTCGCCCCCTCCTTCCTGCTCGCCCCCTTCCTGTGGGTTGGGGATTAAGCCCACAACCCGGGCATGTGCCCTGCCGGAAATCAAAGTGTGGTCTCATGGTTCATACGTCCACACTAAACCACTGAGCCATGCCGGCTGGGCGAATCACTTGTTTAAATGATGCTTGCCTAAGTACAGGGCAGTGACTCAAAGTACAGCCTGACTGGTATAAGTGGAGAGGGCAGCAGAGCCATGGAGTCCCACCAAGCGAATGGAAAGGGAATTGACCCTATAGAAGTCACCTCTTTGAGGAAGAGAAGATAACAGCAGCTAACTAGGGAAGAACTTTCAGAGGTGCTGTTATTTTGGTACTTTCTTGCAAGGCTTGTCTAAAACTCACATGCTCTGTCTCTATTCTCTGACTCTAAGTTTCCAGGTTAACAATTCCAACTTTTCCAGTGATGGGGTAGAGGATGGATCAGAGAGGGGGTGGGTGTTAAACAAAGGTCAGAGTCCAGGGCTGGTGAAGTTTATCTTTACCCTCATTATTTACATGGTGAAGGTTCAGGTATTAATTAACAGGAAACCACAAAGAACTTAAAAAGAAAAAAAGGCTGTACACCAAGAATATTTTTTTTTTCCTTCTCTCTGTCCATGACCTAGAAAATATCATAATACAAATAGGCCTTTCTGATTTCCCTGGTTTTCAACAGAGATATAAAATGAAACTAGGATTTCTGAAACAATTTGCTTCTTTATGTTCACTTAAGCAGAACTTGGTAGGAAAAGTACTGATTTGGAAAACAAGAAATGACCTTCGTCTAGTGGCTGGTACCGTGTCCTTTCTCCTGTTTCCTCCCTTTCTTTCATCTCATTCTCCTTTCCATCTTCCTTCCCCTTTCCCATCTGTCTGTCCTCTTACCTCCTCTTTCTCTCCTCCCCCTTTTTCCCTTCCTTCTTCTGTCCCTACCTTTAACTTTTCCCATCACTTTTTCTTCTTTCCTAACTTTCTTTTCTCCCTCCACACTCCCTCTTCTTCCCTAAGACAATTGTTTTGGAGCTACAAAAAATGTGGGATTTGGGGAGATTTTATGGGTTTCCTTGGGGAGCCAGATAATGTGAGAAAGATCTTTTTAAAAATATTTATTTTATTGATTTTTTTTTTTACAGGGAGGAAGGGAGAGGGATAGAGAGTTAGAAACATCAATGAGAGAGAAACATCAATCAGCTGCCTCCTGCACACTCCCCACTGGATATATACCTGCAACCAAGGTACATGCCCTTCACCGGAATTGAACCTGGACCCTTGAGTCTGCAGGCCAATACTCTATCCATTGAGCCAAAGTGGTTAGGGGAGGAGAAAAATCTTAAAAGCAAGGGAGACCCTGCAAGGGAAGAAAATTGAGGTAGCCCCCAGGGAGCACCCAGCCACCCTCTGTGCTTATGCCCACCCATGCTGTACTTTGCTGGCCCCCACAGAGGAACGAGGCTGGGCTGGGGTGAGGTATGGCAGCAAGTTTAGGACTGGCTCTGTCACGGGGTCGTGTCTTGGCTGCTGTATGGCCAAATAGGGCTTCACGGTGCTATGAGTTCAGTTCCTTGTGATGGAGGCAGAAACATTTCCCCTTCTTATTCTCTAGGTTCTTTGGCTATTCTAATAATAAAAGGACATAAGATAAATTAAGAGGAGAAAAAGAATTTATATACATATATACAGGAGCCCACAAAGAGGTGAGGCTCGAAGGTAATTGAGGCGTGTGAGGCACCCTCAGCTGAGGAAAGGGGTAGGGGCCTGGGCTTCACGGGGGAAGGCGTGCCGTTCACAAGAAGATTAGTGGAATGGATGTTGGGCAATCAGCTGTTTTCCCTGCTAAGCAGATTTTTTTCTTTCCAGGTATAAAATATGTTATCTCCGGGAATAGCTCTCTTACTGGTACAGGCCCAGGGTATGAATTCTTTTAGGCAGGTAGGGGGAAGTAAAAAGGCTTCCCTGAGTCTGCTGTGTCTTGATAGCTTTGGGCTCAAAATCATGCACATGCCAGAGACCCATTTTGGGGTGAGAGAGTCTGCTCCCCTTCCCTGTCTCCGGCAGGTTCCCTTCAGGGCAGGGCCTGCAAACCTCTGTGACAGCTGGTGCTCATGTGGGGGTCAAGCATCTCAATTCTACCTGAGCTTTAAGGGTTTAATGATGGTTTGTGAAGATGGGTGAGAGGAAATGCTGGAAACCCTAGGCCCCGGCTTAAGCCCTACTGTATCCTTGCCCAGCGCTGGATGGGTCAGTGGTATGAGGAGGAGAGGTGGGTAGCCCCCTAGGGCACACCTGAACTGGCTGAGGGAGTTGGTGGCTTCAGGTTCTTCTAACTAGTCTAATAATCAAATGTAATAAAGGGAGGGAAAATGTCCATTTAATCAAGTAATCTTGGGGGTGTAAAAGGTAGTGAGAGAAGAGGAGGAATCCTGTCATTTTCAGTGATCTCAGCTTGAATCTTATCTGCCACCTGAGGGAGGAGGGAGGAGAGGGTACCCGTCCTCCAGGTAGGGCCTCTGGGGAAGGAGGGGCACTCCAGGAAACCTGGCTGGAAGTGGAGCCAGAAGCAAGGCAGAAGAAACCTAGTCTTTGACATGCCAAGTTGGGGTTAGGGGAGGTGTGGGCAAGGGTGTGTGTAGGCATAAACAGAAGCACAAGGCTTAAAATGCCCAATGCTTATGGACACAAGTCATCCCCATGGGAGTCTGTTTTCCTGGGCAGGGGCTGAGACTAGACTCTCCTGATCCTGTTGGGTGAAGGGCACAGGCAGATCAGGGCCTTTGGGAGGGGAGAGTTGACTCATGCAGACTTATGTAG